ATTACATTAGAGAACGCTGAGTTTCTATTGCATAGAAAACAGTGAGGATTGTGCTGTTGCACAAGAAGGGGGATCCAAGATCGGGAATTCCTGGACAGTAATTATATCTTTATACTAATCTTCACAAAAATTTCTTAGAGCATACAATCACTAGAAAGAAGAATTTCGGATTTCTATGATTAAATTGCCATTTGCATCAAAAGAGGAACTTGAAGAAGCGATCTTCTCTAACCAAAATTGGCTGCATCAATTCTCGAGAACTCTGCGGAAATCGGGACAGAGTAACATAGAAATGAAAGTTGATGACAGTTAGCCAGCCATCAAGTCCTCGTTTTGCTGACGACGTTGTCACTACAACATTAAGCATTAGCGACATCAGGCGCGCTTCCGGAAAATGTGTCGTCGTTGAGCGTCCATAAGAGAATTTTCTTAAGAAGTTCCAGCCATGTGTAGTTTGATTGGAATGTGAACCCAGTGAACCACTTGGTACCAAAAACGAGAAGAACGAAACCAGTAAGCTGAAAAGTTTGCAAAGGTATCGAGAATGCAGTAAAGAGGACAAAGAACAATCGGCTCCGTGATCATCCCTCCGATTCTTAAGTGAAGAAAAAGGTGAACCTTATATGAGGATGATAAATATTCACTGAAAGCACGCTTTCGACATAGTGATATTAAGAGTATTCCAGGCAACGCATGTGACAGTAGGAATCTAAAGTTCCGAATTCGAGTACATTAACGTTCAAAGAGCAAGGATGTTGACATAAGTTGAAGATTATGTGCGATGTACAAGTAATTCGTCTTAGTGACAATCGGTAGACAAGACCTAACCGCTAGAGAACTGTATCCTGTAAGATTTAAAGCACATGAGAAACCACTGACCACAGAGTCAAATTTATTCATGGAAATCTTAGAGAAAAATATCATGCTATTCGAGTTCGAGAATCCAACGAGCAAGTTTAGGAGAGGAGAGCACTCGTAAAGTGTCTATTTGCCCATGACATCCTAAAAAGCTTCGCAGTGGACTTCGCTTGGTAACGACTCAGGAACATCCCTACATTTATCACTTGAATCTCCCTATGTTTACTACACTTGCTAAAAAAGTAACCACGGGTAGCTCGTCGGGCATACATTTGCCTAATAGGATTATTTGATTAATGCACTTTCTTCGGTTATAAGGAAATGTGCTGAGAGCTTCAACTAAACATAGAAGCAGCTATGTAAACGAAACGAGTAACTGAGTAGAAAAGCATCTAGTTTTCACCCCAATCAGTAAAGAATAATCTCAAAGTTCAACAAAAATATGTAGGAGTTCCATATATAGCAGCTGGCCGACAGAGATAGGAAACCCTTTTTTCTGGAAAAAAAACGCGAACGAGATTCCGACTCCAAAATCGTTAGCAAAGAAGAAATGGGACAGCGGTTTTATGGCTTCAACCGATAAGTTTAGTCAAAAGTGTGTTATGAGTAAGAATGTTCTAGTTCGTGAAAGGGCGCGTGTAGTGCAGTGATCGTAGGCGCCCTGCAATACGCAAGTGGAATCGATCCTGTGCTCATGGCCCACTAAGCCTTCCATCTCTCCAGGATCGGCAAATTGGTACCAGATTGTCTGGAAGGATTGCAGCACTGGCTCGATACATCGGTAGGCCAGCCTGATATGCATTTAATCACCTCCAAACGGTGCTTAATGAACTTTATCCTTCTTATCCTTTTTAAGAATGTTCTTAAATCTATTGCTTCGCTTAACACTTAAAGACCGACGTGGGTTGATTTCCAGTCACACAGTGTGGAAACGAGAGTTGCTTTGAACTTTAAATCAATATATATCAGCTCAAAGTGAATCTTACCAGTTGAAAGAAAATCCTTTAAAATCTACAGCATTTCGCCAAGAGATTATAAGCTTCTATTCCACCACACTAAAATCCTGATCTTAGAAAACCCAGAAATCGTGCTTTTGTCACTTTTTTGTCGAGGTTCGCATTTCGAAACGAAAAGCAGTTGAGTAAACGACATCTCGTCCATTAGAACACAACGATGATGTTACCAAATGCGTTTTTGATGTTTATGGCTGCCACAATTGTGTTTGGAATTCTAAAAACCTTAAATTCATTTTCACATCGTTTCGAAGGTTCGATCCTAAACGGCATCTAAACTCAAATAATATTATAATTTTAAACAACAACACATTCCTCTAGATAGATCAAAGTGTCTTCTACAAGCCGACCACGTTTCCTTCCAGTTATCGAAAAAATATCAGTGGTTTGCGAAAAAGCAGGTTCGGGCCCTAAGTGTAGGTTACCACAGTTCCATACTACTAATAGCATCTTGAAATCAGAATGTGCCGCTCTTTAATACAGTACACATTAGTGAATCCATTTATAAAGTGGTGCGTAGGGCGATGGCATTAATATAGTTCATACTAGAAGGGCACTGGTTCAATCTTATCACAAGTTCTCCAAGCTTATCATCGCCCTAGGGTTGGAAGATTTGTATCAAACCTGTTTGTGATCAGAACACCACCTGCAATCCACATGAGGATTCCACAGCACGGCTATCTCAAGATCCCAGAGAGAATCACCTCCATTAGCATTCAACAACATTCGTAGCAACGACAACAATCACCGAGCAGCAGGCGTACTCAAATGGAACATGTTAGAACATCTTCATGGATAATGGATGCGAGGGAACACATCGAATGCACGAAGTTCTGAGACCCGCAAAATATTTGACGTGGTATCATGTGAAAAAAGTGGCTCCATCCACAACCAATTAAAAAAAATACAGAAGAGCCGATCCAGAAGGTGGACAGTATGACGCCGATGGTACGAGACAACAGTTATAAACAGATACATAATCATGTACATTAATCAATCTAATCAAATTCATAAACGCATTGCTAACTCATCAACGATTCCTTCATCAAAACTCGAGTTTCCCTTAGCGATGCACAACTGGCAGATTACCTTACTCTTCCACGAAAAATTGTGGACCACTGCGGTCTATTCGCAGACTTCGCTTAAATTTAGGCACGAATTAGTGACCATCTGTGGCCAGAAAAACCATTTCCTACACTTAATAATTTACACAAAACTTTTTCCTATTGACCAATAGTTTGGCTAAGAATCAAATGTTAGGGTAAAAAGGATAAATCTCTGGGCGTTGATCAATCCCTGAGGGATGCGCCATGCATTCGACTTCATTGAGCATCGTTGGAGGTGAGTGAAAGCATAGCAGGCCTTTACAATGACTCGCGGTGGCCTACCGATGCATTGGACCAGTGCTGCTATTCTATCAGGCAGGTCTGGTACCAATTTTCCGACCCCGGAGCGATGGAAGGAAGGCTTGGTGAGGAAACCTAGGGCGCGGGGATTGATTGCACGTGTGTTGCAGGGCGCCTCCGACCAGTGTGCCACACGCCCCCTAATAAAATTTTATTTCCTTTTAATCATTATGGTTATTGTATGGAATGTTCAGATACAAAAAAGCACCGAAATAGACTCAACATAGGGTGAAAAATACTTCCTACTGATTAAAGCGATGTATTTCTTTAACGGATTATAGAAAAAAGGCAAGCACTAGTATACAGTCGTCGGACGGCTGGGGTGTAAGCGGTGGGTACCCAACATGCTATTACTCTTTCCGGGGGATAAAAAGTTCACCACACTATGTGAGGCCTTCGTTTCACCTTTCTCTCAGCTGTGTTATTGACTTATGTGCTATCAGCAATCATCCGTCAGCGGCATTGATCTGGGGAGCCCAAATCGGCGTTGAACCCAGTTAACCTGATGCTGTGGTATAAATCATAATCTCGTCATTTCTTTATCTTCACTGCCTACTCGTACTATTTACACCACAGCTTCAGCTTAACTGGGTTCAATGTCGATTTGAGCTTTCCAGATCAATTCCGTTAACGAGTGATTGCTGATAGCACTTAGGTCAAGAACAGCACTGAGAGAAAGGCGAAACGAAGGACTCGTATGGTGTGGTGGTGAGCGCATTACACGCCGGAAAGGGTAAAAGTGTGTCTGGTCCCCACCACAGACACAAGCGGTCCGGAGTTTTGCAGATATCTCAGCACCATTAAAGTAATATTCCACTTAATAAATCATTTGGCGATAAGAAGGTTGCACTTCATCAAGTAGGAAAACGGTTTTTAATTTTAGTGCACGGACGTTGCATAGATAGAAAAACTCTCACATACATCGCACGCATACCATTAGTTATAAAAATAAGAAAAGATTGTTTTTCGCCCCAGCTTCGGGAATAAAAAAAAAAGAAAAAACTGCTATCGAACGAACAGTGCTCTAGCAAGAAAGCTGTTTGAACAAACGCATCCATTTGAGTTCAACCATGAAAAACATTTCTTTGACACCAACAGTCTATTGTTAGTCAGTCACATATTTACTTTAAGTAAAAAACAGGTGCGCGTGTAGCCCAGTGGTTAGAGGTGCCCTGCAATACACCGCGTTCGATCCCTCGCCCCAGGTCCACGAAGTCGTTCATCGCTCCGGGCTCGGACATTAGTACCATACCTGGGTAGAAGGATAGCAGCACTGTCTGGATACATCGCCAGGTGACCCCGAGTCATTGTAAAGGCCAGATATACATCCAATCACCTCCAATGATTGGATGAAGTCCAATACATTGCGCGTCTCTCAGGGATTGTTCAGTGCCGAGAGCTTTTCCCTCTATCCTTTAAATAAAAGCAAAAACAGGCGGCATACCATGTTACCATGTTACAGCAAAAAAGAGAATCATATTATATCAAAATACTATTGATATGCAAGTGGTAGAGATATGTATTGATAGTATGTATTGATTCAGTTCACCACATGCACGGTCGTGGTTCAATCCCGCAGCGGACCAATTAAGTCTCGCATCTTTTCGCTAAATATGTCATATCTGGTCATGTGGAAGATTTAAAATATCAAGAAACTGATTGTTTATGTCTAGGAAAAACACTTATTTTGCTGGAAAAAAACTGATTGAAATCGAACTTAACGCTAACTCACGTCGTCATCGTTCTCGGGTTTGCAAAGACGCTGACATATCTCTGTAGTTGTTCCGAAATCGATTGATCCAAGTGGAATCAATAATTGTCCCACTCGATCGTCTTTCGATAATCGATCATAATCGTAGACGGTCAACAGTAATGTCTTCGATTGCAGCTCGTTAAACGGTATCTGGAGATATCCGATTTTCTTTGAAACTGCTTACCCTTGTGGTAAAAAAATCAATAAATCGATGCAGTTAGATTCAAACCGTTCATTGTCGTATCGTTGTGTTGTCTCTGAATACAAAATACCTCTAGCCCTTCATGGTTTCGCTATGATCATAAGAAAACCTTCAAATCATTAGATATTTATTATCTATGCATTTCTGACGACGATCATAAGCACGTCCGTCGTCCGTTAATGGCTTCGTGTGCAGGCTAAATAGCGAATGAGCACGCCAGCACCGCCTCCTCACCCACATCCGTCCGGCGCTCATTCACATCGATTAATGCGAATTCAGGATGGAGATGGTGTTATCTCATAGACCGCTTCTTTTTCATTAAGTGCAAGTCGGATACTTTATCCCATTTTTTTATTTTTGTCGACTCGGATGAGATGGACAACAGTGGACCAGCGACTCGGATCACCTGAGTACGTCATCTGAGGGAGAAGAAGACGTGGAAACGGCCAAACAATACTTCTAGCAACCTCAAGTTAGCTTCTAAAGTACAGATTTCCGTCTTCATAAAAAGTGAATAATAACAGATAGTGACTGATTGACGTCGACGAAATCTCACCGGGAACAAAAACGTCGACGAAATCTCACCGGGAACAAAAACGTCTCGTTGTAGATCGGGTTCAGTGTGTTTCGAATGATCTTCGTCTCGTATTTCTGTTTTCGTTCCGGTAAAATGCATAGCTTCACATACGGATCCGACATACCGTTTCGATCCATAGCCGGTAAATCTCGAGCATCAATGATCGTTACCAGCAACTGAAACGATGACAGTCGTTAGTCAGGAATCATTTCAATGATCTGCTGATTCTTAACACTTAAAAGCCGACGTGAATTGATTTCCACTCATACGGCACGTAAAAGATAGCCGCTTTCAACTTTAAGTTAGCATATCTCAGCTCGTAGTGAATTTTACTTTATCGAAAACTCACTAGTAGTTCTCAAGAAGAGAAAAACACCTCGGAATCTAAGTACTAAACATTTACGGATACACTTCAATGCTAGTTTGCTGCCCTTTCCTTCATACAAAATCTTGCTAGAGGATTTTTCTTCTTTATTTTGTTTCACGTGGGCGCAGTCTAATACGTGTTGTATTCAGTGCGTAGACGATTTTTAATTAATGTAAACCTGTGCAGTTCAACTTATCACCATAATAAGCAATATATTTAGAATTTATTTGTTAAGGCTACCTCTAGACAGTCAGCTAAAACCACTTATCATTTCTTTACCTCAATGAAAGTCGGTTGTTATCAGGCTCTAATGAACTAACGACTGGACATTTCCTAATTATATCCTATTTATAACTAATTCTTCTTTTTATAACTTCTAATCAATAACTTATTCGACAGTAGAATAAGAACACAGAGAACTTAATTATCTTACTCAATAATAAAAAGTGTTTGAAAACTTCATTGCCGTAAGGCAAAAACAGCTGCTACATCATGAGCGATCAGATCTCGAACAGATTAGAACGAATACTCGATTCGAACAGTTCCGATATTCGAAGCGAATAAGCATCCCAAAAAAAAGAACTTCATTGAAAAATTGTTTTCTCCATAGGATTGGAATATTCTGCTGGTTAATTACGTTATGTTGAGCTTACCATTGTAACACAAATAGAGCAAGCCAGCACGATACAAGCGGGATTACGTCCACTATGAATCGAGCAAAGTGTCTACTCAAAAATTCTGACTAAGATGCACTGACCTTTATTCGATTGCGTTTTCAAGAACATCGAAGAACGCAGGTACTAGTGCAATAACGTTAACCAATTCATTCAGCAACAAGGCTGTGGAAATTCTACAATGTGTCCTTAAGATAACTCAAATATCTCAGGGCTATCTGTTCTTGTCATAACGTGACTGGGTTCTCTTTCGGTGTGAATCCTATTAATATTCTTTCTTTGCTAGAAAACCTTCAAAAGTGTAATGTAATTTCAAGATTTTGAAAAGCTTGTCGAAATCCATTGAGCCCTCAGAGAATAAAAACGTCACCTGTATCCATAAAACTAATGGACATTTGCGACAGACAATCGTAACGGCGAAATAATACATATTTTAACTATGCTAGGATTGATTTATGACCCAGGTTTTATTAACACATAACATCCAGCATGCATTGAGCACAATGCATATAGTGCAGTAGTGTCTGCTTTCCACTTTAGAACACAAAATCTCAACTCATAATGGACTCTTCTGTTTAAAATAAAAGGTAATAAAATCTAATGGTCTTTGGCTATAAGATGAAGGTCTCCTATCCTACCAAAATAAAATCCTGACTTCCTGGAACCCATGGAAGCCCTTTTTCGTCTCTTCTTCGCATTGAAGCTTTTCGAAAACAAAAGCAATTCAACAAGTGGCATTTTATCCTGCTGAACAGGAAAATGTTCACAAGTGTATCGTGGGCATTAGGATCTTGCTATGGAAATTTCATCCTCAATTTTCTCAAGAGTTTCCTTTCGAAGCATACTTAAAGTTGTAAGAATATTTCACAAACATTTATGTATAGACGACACCAACGCTGACGGTACCGTTAGGGTAACAGCTGATTGAGAGAAGAGCAAATTAAGGGCCTCAATGGTGTAGTGGACAAAACGTGAACGCCTAGAAAGGGTAATCTCAGGTTCGAATCCAATCTAAGCGGTTTTGTAAATATCTGAGCATTATTGTTATTATACATAGAATTAAGGTGATCCGCCAAAGTCTCTTATGCAGTACTATGACGTTTTCAATTCCTCAGATACTATAGTAAACGAGAAATTATCATCAGTTAAATTAAGCGATTTCAAATGAAACCAAAACAAAAACTGTTTCGCGTGTGTTCTTTAATAATTCTCGAATTTCACTGGGAAGTAGATTCGCAAATAGAAAGAAATCTATAGATCCACTATTCTCGTGCGAAGAGCCAGCCATTCAGAAAGCAACGAAACTCTACAAAATTGTAGGTAACGAACGAAGTTCAACTGGACACACAACTGTGAACATAATTCGAGATAGAGACTACATGGACTAGACGGAATCACTATGAGCAACAGAAGTAACCCCTACGAAAACTATTCATCTTCAAAATGTCTTCCATCGCCTTACCATTCTTTGACATTTTCTACTAGTAATCAACTATCTGAAGCACTTCTTCCCTCGAGGAAGATACCATACGGCTTAGGAAACGGATAAAAGATCAATACTGAGATAAAATGACAAGAAAGTAAATAGTAATGAAGTGTTTGGGTAGTCAAACAACCATTTCGTTGATGAAATTCATGGAGGTGATTACCACCGACCAAAAATCAAAATGAGACACTGGCAATTCCTTTTACTTTCTATTATTCCTCCATGATCCATGGCTTTGAATCGAAGAGATTTTGAACAGCGAAGCTACTAGTATTCGCAGTTTCTCATCATTATGAAGGAACTGAACTTGAAAAACTACAATAATTAAAATAGGGATACAATGATTGACGAGAACGAGAGAATTCAACGAATGGAGTATGGCATGAGAGAAAAGGACACAAAAGTGCCACTTTTCAGGCTATTTTGAAGCAAAAAACTTCAACCAGCAAGCTACCACTTGCACTGTGACGTTCCAAGGATTGATGACACTTACGAAAAACTAGAAGTTACTTACTTTGTTTAGTGGAAATTATCCACCTACATAGTGCTTACCTTATTTTGTGAGAAGTCATACTCAAGTTGGGCTCGAATCACACCGTATTTACGTGCATCCTGGTTGGCGCTGACCAGCAGCGGCTGCACATTGAACGTCTTCGACGAGATCGAAGGAACATCATTCCAAGTATTGACAGTTCTGTGATTTGAAATCTGGTACTGAAACGTATGAATGTATACATCTGATGCTTCGGAAGAAAGCTAGAAAATCCCATCAATTTCTGGGTTTATTCGTTGAACTGGAACCATAAAATGATGAAGAAAAATGAGTTACACAGCATAAGTTCGGCAATACTCACAGCTAATATGGTTATCTGTAGTTGATTGAGCTCACTAGTTACCGTTTAACTAAATTTGGTATTCAAATGACGAATTGTAGAAACCAGCCGAAAAATTTCACGATCTAAAGAACATTCTCGAATTCTGTGTCCGAAAATTCCCACTTAAGAAAGCTCTACGGGTATTTTAACAGCTGGCAAAGTGTTGAATTCCGTGTGGCGATAATGTCGAACAATCAACCTGGCTGTGCGCCCAAAACTAACAATCGATGGTAAAGGGTACTGTAACCCATGGGCCGAATGTAGCCCAAAACTTGACGGTCAAGTGTGAAGGGCCCCGAAACCCCTTTGGCGCGGCACGACTGCTGCTCACTGCCCAATTGTCTACAAAATTTCTATAAAAAATATTATTCTATAGCTGGATCGTTCTATTCTCGTTACCGGTTAGTAGTTTACAGTAGTATTTCGGCATGATGTATGTCCGGAAGAAAAACAAGTTGTTATCACCGGACATTATCATTATATCGACCATCAGCATCGTGTATAAAAGGGCATCACTGAGTGAGGATGCCTCATTCGAGGAGATGGCTCACTGAGGAAGACTTGACTCGACACGAAGGCAAAGCTGCCACGTCGAGACGAATAACAAGCATGGACCATCGACTCGGATCGTCGGCTCTGAGGAAGATGAAGACGTCTAAACGTTAGCCGAAAATAAATATCATTATCAACCTCGTGTAAGCTCATCAAAGAAATAATACATATTGACTAGTGATACTGAAGTTCAAGGAAAGTCGGTTTCGAAATATTACTACGCTTTGTGCTAGCTGATAACAACACCGACTTCTGCATGATGTGCGCAATGATGTATGTCCGAAAGAAAAACAAATTGTTATCACCGGACATTAACATTATATCGACCATCAGCATCGTGTATAAAAGGGCATCACTGAGTGAGGATGCCTAATTCGAGGAGATGGCTCACTGAGGAAGACCTGACTCGACACGAAGGCGAAGCTGCCACGTCGATAACAAGCATGGGCCATCGACTCGGATCGTCGGCTCTGAGGAAGACGAAGACGTCGAAACGTTAGACGAAAATAAACATCATCCTCGTGTAAGCTCATCAAAGAAAGAATACACCAAAGTCACTTCAGATCTCTGAAAAGAAATCTGGTTTAATACAACGCTTTTTGATTGAAAACAAAGAAGTCGTTCAGTTTTTTCACCACGAAAATGCACCTACAAACTAACTAAACCATTTAAGAAATAGAGGCACTCCTCAGGTTTCTAGCGTATCTGCAGATTTTCTATATCTTAAGCACTTCGCTCATTCTGTGACTTAACATCTACGTTGCATAATCAAGATGGAACTGTGTTTCTCCGTTGAAAACGTATTTCATACATTTCAGATACGGTAGCATCACTAAGTACCATAAGTCAAACTGCTAATTTACTGATGAATACCACTTTTCAAAACAAATATTTGTTAGGATCAGTTAGGTAGAAAACTAGCTGAGAGACACAGTAAGGACACCAGTGGTGCAGTGACCAGCAGCTGAGCCCTCAGAAAGGGTAATCGCGGTTCGATCTCGCTTGGGTCCAAGATTGGAAAAAATCTCAGCATCATAGTGGTTGCATTTCACTTCATATCCTACCATGAAAAATAATAGTAGGTAGTGAATTTAAAAAATTTACAAATATTTGTATGCGGGAAGTTTATCCGGTATGGATCTGTCCCTTCAAGTTGACGAGGGTATTTGCAATGGCATCACACGCACACAAAAACACATCCATATAAAGCTCCATGCATCAAAGAGCTCCCACTAAATAAACGAGCTTCCAGATTATCACCACGGCGACCACTCGATGATGTTCATATGACTCGTACTTACTAGTAACAAAGAGCTAAAGGCAAATAGAATGCTTAGAAGACGATGAGTGAAGGTTTAAGATAGTTAGTGAAGAAGGAAGTAGATGAAATGAAGAACTTACGCGATTTGCATTGCTCGCAGCTGGTCGTATCGGCGGACAACAGACAGTAAGAATACGATATAGTGGCGAACATATCACACTGCCGGTGGACCACATCTTACTGCACACTACTACTCACTTATCAGCTGCTTGCAGCAGCGTTGTTCTAAGCCCTATCGTCTCCTCCATCATGAGCTTTTCCTTATCTAAAACATCAGACCTATTACGATAGTAAGAGAGGAAACAAGGTGACGAACGAAATGAACAAGACCAAAGAGCCCAAAGAACTCCAAAAGTTACTGGGATCCAGAAGAAGCCGTACAGCTAACCATATAAGGATAATGACTACTCCCACAACTCTTCCCGGAATAGCCCTTTCATTGCAGGTCTCATGGGCGGGGCTAATGTTTGCCTCGCGTGTCCCGACACGATTGCACAGCGTACTCACGTAGCTACCGTATTACCTCGTTCGTTACAGATATTCTGGGTTGCATCTATTGATTCACGAGTTTGCAAGTAATATTAGTCGTCAAGTCCTTTGCTTAGCGCTCACAATCCTGAGGGTGTTTTGCAGAGTGCTGTCCTGGTTTTTTGGTCTTTTATTTTTTAATGTTCCTATCGGTTACTTGTGATTTTCTATGGGGAACTAGTCCGTTGATGGTGAAGTTCATTTATTGCGCATATTATTCAGGAGTTGCCACGACTTACTGTTCTCTGCTGAAATGCATTAGATTTTGTTTGTAACTTGTAACTGATCCATTCTAGTTATTTCAGGAGAGTTCGTTATGGGTTTCGCTAATCTCTGGTTCTCACATCCACGCAAGTTCGGTCCAGGATCTCGTTCTTGGTAAGAGCGTTTACGTTGGCATTAATTTTCATTCCTTTGTGTTTCTGTTTATATGTTTTACGCTTCGGAGTTTTATTTCTCTAGAGTTAATCTGTCATAACACCAGTTTTTAACGACATATTGCCTATACATATACATGTTTACGACACATATTTACGACGTCTCCATATGCTTTCTTTCTACGTACACTTCTTGTTGACCATTATTAGTTTTAAGGTCTCTTTATTGAGTTCAATATTTCCTCGGATGCATCGGGACAAAGGGCGCGTCTTGCGCAGTGGTCGGAGGCACCCTGCAATATACATGGTATCGGTTCCCGCGCCCCTGCCCCACAAAGCTCTCCATCCCTCCGGGGTCGGCAAATTGGTACCAGACATAGCTGGGAGAATAGCAGCACTAGTTCAACACATCGGTAGGCTACCGTGAGTCATTGTAAAGGCCTGATACCCGTTCAGTTTCCTATAACGGTGTTTAATGATGTCGAATGCATGGCGCTTCTTTAGGGTGTTGATCAATGCCGTGAGCTTTATCCTTTATCCTTTAAAACATCGAGACAGCACTTGTATAGGCACGGATACAAAGAAAATTAATTATGTGGGTGATTTCTACCTTCTAAAAATTTCGAGCCGCGCATTGTTCGTCATATTCACTGACTTTCTTCCCATCGTATTGGTAAATAAATCTCGGTGTTATGTTATAGATTTGGAAGGTAAAAAACATGGTACAACGACTTATTGACTTTTTTATTTCAAAATTTACTATGAGCAAATGCTGCATATATTTTAGAAGTTGGTGATCACTTGTCATAACCACGACAGATGCTTTAAATGGAGAACCCTAGGGTCCTTACTTCTAGTAAAAGTAGGTTTAACGTTGCAAAGCTTGGTGTTATGTTGCAGAACACCATCAAGTTGACCGGAATGTGGTTTTGCTAAGACAACTTTAAGTGGGTAGTCCTTTTGTTGAGATGAGACTAAATGACTATTGTATCTTGATTGGACGCTTCCAAAAAAGATAGCTAAACTCCAGAGAAACCAAAAAAGCCAAGTTCGGGTAAAGTGGCGTTAAAGCAGTGGCAAAGGTTATAGTTTATCCCGTGGTAAGAGCACTTTGTTGATTTATGTGCATGTTGTTTCTGTGTTTGAGAATTTAAATTCATAGACATTGATGATGGTGGTCATGTTGGGAGATGATCCGTTTTCAAGTATATTTATCACTACTGTTTTGGCCAACTAACATTCTAGTAAAGTCTGGAATTCTGTCTATCATCAGCCGGAGTAGTTTAATTGATTTCGGTCCCACGAAGAAAACCGGGAGCCATATTTTTCGTTCAGAATCTTCGTAAGATACCTAAAGTCGGTTTGGTTGTCTTACTTGATATCTTGCTTGCCATGCCGTGAAACGTTTTCAACCAGATCAGTCCGAACGTTTTCGAGGAGGTCCCATGTTCAAATTTCCTTTCACAATTGAGAGTACTTAGTGGAATGGTCCTAAGAACACCCTCTTAGCAGCGTGTTCGATAAACGATGACCTATTTTTTATATTGTTTACTTATTTTTTCAATTCCAATTTTCTTAAGGGTACCGCATAGTGAAGAACCGTGGAGTCAAAGAGATAAATCTGGGATCGTGTTTTCGTCTTTTCATAAACACTTTGTTTCCTTCTAATCCCTTGTCGCATATTTCGCTGAATGCCTTTCCAATATCACGAAAAGGGTGCGTTGTGTTGGTTTTTTCTTTGTATTGGTCCATCAAATGTTTATAAGACAGCCTCTTCCGACATAAGCGTGGTTGCATCATGAGGACATTTTGAAATTACTTCCCGTTTATGGCGGGTTTTGGAAGGAAGAAATACTAGAATTGCACTCTCTTTAGAACTCAGTAAGAGTTACGATCGCTTTTTTTTTTTACTATTTTTCACAGAAATGTAGGTGCCAGTTGTTCGTTGAAGGTCACTTTCCCCAAATGTATGTAGCCTATTAGTATCGCAAAGTAGATAAGGTGCATTTTTGTTGGGAACCCCTGACTTCACGATACCAGGATTTTTTTCAATACGTTGAGTTATGGAGTTCTAGTAGCAGGATGTCACGTTGTATTCCACGTATAAATTAGCTGGGACAATGTGGATTTTCCCTAAATAACACACTTGGAAGGTTTTCATATGAATTTGCGAGGAGTTGAAAAGATCCCGACTAAAGAATTAGGATGGGGATATTCGTTAGACTACTTGTTGAATAAGTTAAGGGTGCCCAATTTGTGTAGTATAGTGCTTGAAGTTCAACTTTGCGCATAACTTTGTAGCTTTATATGTCTCTCCATAAATCTATAAAACGCTTTTTTTAAGTCTATTGCGTAAGTACAGAAATTGGAAGCTGCTTGAAACTTTCGAGAGAATTCCCGCAAGACGACGATGTGGATGCGTACTGTGTAAATTCAGCGCTCTTAATTTTTTTTTTTAAATAGACAACCATCTTTTCGGTCCAACCACAGAACACATTTTAGGATCTTTTTCACCGCTTGGGATGTTTAAGTTTCTTAAAATGTTTTTGTAAAACAGATTTTAAAAAAATGTGTTGCTGACGTGCGACAACTACCCAGTAATAAATGACGTTTGACCTGCATACCACTTCATGGAGATTTCGGAGAACTGCCAGTTTTTTGCGTCATTTCATCGTATACGTTTTTGATCACCGTGTTTTGTCACCCAAGCGTATCATCTCACTGATTCATGGGACTTCGTGAGTACATTTATTTCATGAATGTGATTCAATTATTGCAACCTTATGACGTTAAAAGAATGGGTGTAAATTCTTTGCTAAATTGTTTACAGAAGAGGACCCCGTCGACTGAGACAACTTTACATTGTGAAAGCTCGTTTACTCACTGGGGACCAGAAAACTATCCAAAAATAGGTTAACGACAACTTTACTATAATGATAAATCAAGTATATGTAGGAGGTCTTGGCTTCATCTGGCGTTGCTGTCTCGTACTAAACGGTAGTACTGGACACATTTGCTTACATCTTCAAAACAGGGACCCTGATGCTTTCGAAGTAAAAGGAGGATTTTTGACAAGAAAAAATGAAACGATCGGCATTAATTAAAAAGCGGCAAATAATGTAGACAATGTGGAGAGTACATATGAAGCAAATAACTTGGTTTCAAAATAATGGGCGCATGGTTTAGTATTTGCTGTGAGCGGAAGTTGTGTGAATCATGTAAGTTTTATGGTGTTAAAACTGTTTGCCATCAACAATGGTAATGATGACGACAATTCGTATTATTTGAATCTTAACTCTTTTATTTACCGCATTTTTCTTCTTAATGGCAGGGTATGTTGTGAAATAAAACTCGTATGAAGTGCTGAGATATTTGCAAAACTCCGGACCACACGTGTATGCAGTGGGGAACGAACACGCGCTGTTGTCCTTACCGGGGAGCAGCGCACTTCACCACTACACCATCCGGGGCTCGTATTATTTGAGTAGAAAGTATTCTAAGCTCGATGCAATCTTGACCTTGAAGGTTTAAATCGGCCTTTGATCTGTTTTCAATGTTTTCATTGCCTTCAATGTTGAAAAAGTTGACACATACATGTTCACGTTTTTGCTCATGATAGAATGACCGCAAACCTCATGTGAAGTTCTTTTGAAGATAATCTAGACATTTTTCACACCGAGTTTTTGTAGTGATATAATTTATCGCTCAAATGAGGGCGATTTTCTGTCCTGCCTTATATCTTCTGAGTATGCTGAACGTCCGATGCATATGATTAGTCCGATTTGTTATTCGCTTCTGTTGATAAACCAGCAGCGATGTATGAGAAACTTTTTTTAGCGTTCAGACCTTAATTTGTATAACATTAAACTTAAACTATTTAAAGTGTTTAAACTATACTTCGTCACTATATTATATTGCTACTTTATTTCCTTCTTTAATTCGAAGTATACTTTGGAATCGTTATTTTCTACATGATGTTATAGTCGTGTATGCTCCAATCATCATGGACTTATTCGCAAGTACGGTCTTGATATGTGCCGCAGGTGTTTCCGGGAATACGCCAAGGATATAGGATTTAAAAAGGTTCTTTCTTTTTAATTTGCATCCCGGGAATTTTGAGCTCTTCTGTCTTTGTTAACGCAGGGGCCATTTTCCATTAAATTGTTATTTTCTGGAAAAGTTTGTCCTGCAAAAGAGAAGAATCTTGTCGCAAGCTTGTTTTCCTTTTGTGGTTGACGAGCATTTGATGGAGCAACACTTTTATGACCTCAGCTATTGTTAATAGCGTCATCAACACCATATTTTCAGCTTGACTAATCTGCACGACGAATACTTCTACACTTCGTACACGTCGATGCCGTTTTTTTCCGCATATTTGAATAAATTGTTATTGAGATGTAGTGTTTTTCTTTCCGTGTGTCCTGTTCTATATATACGTATACTTGTGTAAGTGATTTTGTAAATTATGAAACTTATGAGAAATTGTATAATTGTTTTTGAAAAGATGGATCCGGTGGAGGCCGGTGATTGGTTGAATGGGAGGCCGCAACAGCTGGTATTTCTTACTGGGCTTGATCCCACTAACAAGGAGTCACACTCAGCACTTGTCAGCACTTTAGGGTAGGTTACACGCAACAGCATGTCAGGAAAGGTCGGATCAACATATTTAGTTTCCATACTGATTTTATTCGTCAGAAGGAGTTTCGGTGGTTTTTAACGAATAATCATAAGGATAACGGAGATACGTATTTGTATTAGATGTAATCTTATTCACGGCAAGGTGATCCTACCGAAAATCAGTAGAGTGCTATTACATTTCCACTCTTAGTTATGAAGAAGGATTGCTCCAATGACATCTGTCGATTGTGTGAGGATCTATGGGCGGGCAGTGTGATGGGCAGTTAAGGACATTAGGTAGAGCCAATTTGTATGTGGCAGCGTTGATCTGTATTCTTTGTACAGATAATGTGGTGTAATGCAGTGGTATGAAGTAGATTCACGGGTTCTTTTTGTCGAAGTACGTGGTTTAAATACGTGATCGCCCTTGTTTGGGTTAATCCATCTTTGATTATTCCCACGACTAGAATGATTCGGAGCTATGTGGTGGTTTACAAATTGGTGAGAAGCGGTGTGTGTCATGATGTGCTGAGTGTGTTCTGCATTTGTGGAATATGAACTGTGGTTAGAAGTACGATTTATGCAGTACTCCAGTATTAGTGGACATTTCATGGGTACAGTGTGCTGGAACTGAGAAACAAAGATGTTAGTAGTGTCCTGCCTTCCCCTTACCACAGTTGCTTGCAGGTATTTAGTAACTGGCGGTGTCATTGGAAATCGAGACTAACCCTAACCAGGTTTCTCAAATTTTACTACGATTTTAGAATTGCTTTTAGCGTTCGATCTCCTGATAGACCTCCACTAAATCTTCGCTTAGTAAGTGGGGAATTAGGTATGCCACAGAAGACAGAAAAGACGACTGGAAGAGGTAACATATGGCTCATCATTAAATGCATCTTAGCACCTATTTTGCATTTTTTTTAGGGATTTTAAGACGTGATTGGCCGTTAAAATATCTAGAAAGGGTTCCTGCTTTGATTGTGTTGTTTCTCGATCTTGATTGGGACCATTCGTCATGGAGTGAGAAGAAAACCGAAGCTGAAAGTAAATGCGCTAGCCTTCGCGCAAGTGCTGGTAATACCAGTAGACTAGCGGTCGTTTTGCTTCAGCAGAGTTGAGTACACCAGCTTTGTAGCTGCTTAAAATCAACACAGTCTTTGTACAGTACATACTTTTCAGTTTTCCTGATGATCATATCACCACTAATGGGTTCCAATATTTTAGGTCGGTTCCGACATCGGGAGATGATCCTCTAGCAACAGAACGAGCACATGAACTATGTCAGATTTGCCATCTCACACCTCGTCAGCTTTTCGTTTTGCCTGTGTTAGGTGATCTTACTGTAGGTATTGAAATTTTTGGGACATTTACAGAAGTCTACATTCTATGTAATCATTTTTGTTAATATGTCTTCAAGAAACATTGAAGCATAGCACAGCGTAGTATGGCGGTATCCATACCTGTTCATTTCTTGTTCGCTAAATTTCTGCAGCCCAACGAAACTGCTCATTTTCTTTGTGGCTGAAAAATGATACTGCATTTCTTGAGGAAAAACAAGTCGCGGGCTTTTTTTTAGTTACAGTCAAGAATGTGTATAGGACGTAGAGCGCATTATAGGACCTTTATGAATTTATGAATGGAAGCCGAGTTTGAATGCACATCTGGAGGAGTAGATTGTAATAAGAACTTTCTGAAAACTACAATTTGTTGATAATTGTATCTGTCATGATTCACTCTTCATTTCATAATTGAACCTAGCTTTCCAGGGCTATGTGTCGAAATTGGAGTCTGCTTTACATGAATTAGCTCAAGGTTTCTACCAGCAAAGACTCAAAGTTAGTTTTCGTTCTAATGTTGGATTAGGCTTAGTAAGTTTGAAGTGTAGTGTGGTTATCACTAGCACTATTATGGTCAAGGCTATTCGCGCGCGCTCAATTCCGAACAACACGCCTGCATTGGTAGTTCGTCAGCTATTCAAATTGGCCTTCCTCTCAGAACTGAGACAGGATACACACACGGCATACCGGTTAGTGATTTGCTTTGCAAGATATGTATAAATTTTTGAAAACTGCTAAAGTTGAAATAATATCAGCTGTTTTTTTAACTAACGAAATCGAAAACTCAACATCATTCTGAGGTTTACTCCTGAAAAGAACTAGAAAGTTGTCCAAAGATCTTTTTCCCTTGACTCATACTTCAGTTTTATACCATGTTTCACGAAAGTGTTTCACACTAACGGAATGTTCTTTTCAGTAGTTTTATGTCTGCTAAAGTATCCGGATTTGTTGTTTTATCACATAAACGCATAGTGATGGGTCCTTTTTCCTTTTTTTTTTTCTTGTGATAATTGCTGACAATTTCAACGACTGTAGTGTGCGGGAACTTTGAGGCCTAAGAGACTTATTGAGGAGGATTTGCTCTGTTGTTCAGAAGTGTATGGACTTTTCTTAAGATATTTTAATTTTGAATCTATTTAAACTTAAAGTTTTCGACTGAAGTAAAGAGCGAAACTTCACTTCTTAACATGAGACCTGCAACCAAAAACAACAACGATGCATTAGGGCGAATCTTTACGTTATGCGGAACGAAATTGCGGAAGTCAACCGCCTGGTTGCTCGAGAGACACAAGTCCGAGGGAAAAAATGGGAGATTATGAATGCTACGATAATTCGGAACTTCGGACTATTTGAGTAGAAGGACTTGTATATTGTTGGCAAAGTGGATTTTGAGGTCTTTTATTCCGCTTTACTAAATGTCTAGTAGAAACTGTCTATGAGTTCAGATGTGTTTTAGATATCGTATATGTCTGTATATCAGATATGTTTGTTTAAATTTCAAAGCTTTGTCGTTCAATTTTTTCTATTTATTTGTATGATTCGACTTTACGTCTTGCGCGCATCCCGGAATCTCTTCACTTGGCTCATTATCTGGTATCCACAAAATGGATTTGGATTCAGCTGCCATTTGAGGACTTCGACGTGCTACTAGAGTATTTTCATTTGCAATCATTCTCTGGCTTTTGGATCTAAAGAGGATTTTTCCAGACGAGGGTGGTACTAATTTGCCAACGATTTGGGGACGCGAACCATGGTTAGATAGATTCGCATGATGTGGTGTCTAATCAGCGTTCTTACATCACTGCATGGTACCTCATTTGACACGCCCCATATTGGTCATTCTCTGTTAAATATGTCGTTTTAAGGCTTAAAACAGCGCTGCTGTAGATCCATGGTTCCTCAAAAACTCCATTTTTCCGTTACTTTTCCGTTTTCTTGGATTTTATCTGTCTTCACATTGTCTTGCTAATTGATTCTCAATAATGTAATAATATTCTGAGTGCTGCACATATTGTGTAGGTTATTTTTCTTTTAAAAGAAGTTTTCCCGACAGAAACTATCGGCTGGCGTACGAGCAATGCAAAGACCATATGGAAAGTTGGGACGGCATTGATATTTTCGAATGGCGAACAGTTGTTGGATTACTCAATTATAAGGTGACTTGTATCAAAGCCTATGCCATAGTTCACAGCTTCGTATAGTTTTCGAGGTTTAAGTAAAGAATTAGTCACTACTCCTTAGATTTGCGAGTTGTGTTTTCTCCACAACATGGCTGTAGAGGCAGTCGGTCAGATGCGTCGTCATCAAGCTGTTTTTTTCGCTGGTCCGGCAGGTGTTTATCCAACACCACAATTGGCTAATATTGAGCTGCAGTTGTGGAATGCAAAACAAGTAAGTAACTACAATTCGTTGCCAGTATTTGCTATATTAGGGGTGCGTGTGTAGCAGTGGTCGGAGATGCCCTGCAACACACACGTGGAATCGATCCCTGCGCCCATGACCTACCAAGCCTTCCATCCCTCCGGTACCAGACTCGTCTGGAAGGATAGCAGCACTAGCTCGATACATCGGTATGCCACCGTCAGTCATTGTAAAGGCCATATATGCATTCATTCACCTTCAACGATGCTTATTGTAGTCGAATGCATGGGGCATCCTTCATGGATGGTCACCGCTGTAAGCCTTTTTTTTGCTATATTTTGTCCACAGGGCGTGAAATTGAGACAAAGCATCAAATCGTTTTTTTTTCTCGTTTTTTCCTGTCTTCATCCTCAATTAATATTCTCCTTCAGTGCTGGCATTTTGCACAACTCTTCGAACAAGCAGTTGTCAATGGTCTAACGGCATTAGCAACCCTAAACCCTGGAACTCATCTCGACTTGGCCGCTTCTTTGTATTCTGCTGTTAACAAGAATATATTAGCGCTTAAAAATAGTTTGTTATTGGTTCTGTTTATGAAAAGTATCACAACGACTTTGATCGGCATTTTTTCTCAGGCAACCCTGTGACAAAACCGTATCCAGTACCTGATCCGTTAGACGCAATACACAATACGGTGAGTTCGTTTACTTTTTCAACATTTTTCGGTTTTTTTAAATGTATTACTATGGTTTATCTTTCTTTGACTTGGTCTCAGTAAGGGAATTAATATCGTTTTTCTAGATATTCTTTGGTCAGCGACCATGGAGGATTGGTTACAGTGGACTTGCACCTGCTAACGTTGAAGAAGATGCTGTTACTGCTATTCTGGTATGCTTTACGCTAGGGCAAAGTGGCAAAGTCTTCAAATGGTTCCCATTTTGAGCTATTTGCAATGAAATATTACTTTTTTCATTTAGTCACATTTCAGCATCGTTTGGTTGTTAATTACGACGGCGTTATTTCACTTTTGAATGCTGCAATGGCGCAGTTTAAAAAATATGGATGCTTTCGTATGTATCGCAAAGGACTAGTTGAGGTTCGCTTGGTTCCTTTTCTCTTTTTTCTTTTTTCTCTCTTCTCTTATTCTCTTTTTTTGAACTTCTATATCAGTTTTTTGCGTACATCTTTATTGAATATCGTTCAGAAAGTCATGTTTACACTATCTGTTTTGAGTGTTCTGGTCAAAATTTGAAGTGTTCGACTCGTTCAAAACAAAGTTTTTGCTTTATTTTACACACCAAAACTTCACATTTTGCAGTTATCAACACATTTTTAATTTTATTCGTAGTCTTGCGTCCATCATCCACGAAGGTCTTCCAAGTTTTTGCATGTGGCTTCGGCTGCTACTTGAGGATTTTCCTTTCGTCACGAATGTCGATGAATACTGGCTGAGTCGTTTCTCCTTGGAATCCTGATAGCTGACCTCCCTACTTGTATTTCATACAGTGAGCTTTCCCCAGAGACGTTCAATACTAATTTCCCATGTGTAAGTGTGTCACTAGCTGTATTAAGGACTTTATTTCTGTTATACTTTTTTAGTCCGGAAATTTCGTGGTTGTCTCGCACAGAGTCGAACCTAGTCCAACGTCTTTTATTTTACCGTTTGCTGACTTCTAGCACTTGTCAATTTTTTCATTTGTTCGTAATTTTTCATACATTATTCGGCTTATGAATCTGGTCTCTCTTTTATATAGAAAGGCGACGTGTACTACTCCAGTGGAGATTTGTTGAAAGCCCTGCAGTTATGGATAACTGTTGTCAGGGAAAGAGTTCCACCAACAGTGCGTCAAGAGATTTTACGCAAAGCAGCTAGTGCAGCGTATTGCATAGCCTCGATTAAGGTGATCTACGCTATACACGTACACGGTTAAATCTCAACGTTTACCATTCGGTTTTAGGATTACGTGTGGTCATGTGTGCAGTTAATACCATCCATGCCTTCAATTGAAGATGGTTTTCGAGCTGTTCTTGGTTCTGTTCCTCCTCCTCTTCCATTTCCTCGAAATGATATGACATACGAGCAGGTTTATTTTCCTTCTTCGTATATTCTTTCTCTCTTTCTCTCTCTCTTTCTATATATATATATATATATATATATATATATATATATACTTATATGCAGATTCCGTTTTTTAGATTTCTATCTGATGAGAAAATGTTCTTTTTTTGTAGCTGACTCAGTATCGATTGAATTGGGAGAAGGTGTTAGCCGAAAGACAATACTTCAGCATACAATGTTCACAGCTTGATCTTTTCGTGAAAGTTGAGGTAGTCATATTTTTCTGCTCTTTAAAAGGTGAAAACATAGCATGTTTTAAGTTGTTTTAGACAGGCAGAAATTCCTTTATTTCCAGACATCATTTCTCGAGGAGGATATCGTGAAACAAGACGCAAAAGTTGCAGTTAGGGTTTCCATGAATTCATCGGCTGCTAGCGCCATTAGGTATTCTCGATTCCTTTTGAGGATTTTTGCAACAATTTGATATTTGTCCGAAATTTTTTTGCTGATTTCAATTCATTTTGGCCAAGTATTTCGCCTTTATTTTATCATCTAACTTCAATCCCTGTCCCTGAAAAACATCTTTCGCTTCTCGGGTACGGTAACTGTCACTTAAATAAAATGAAAAGAAAAAGATGCATCCTAAGAGAAAATAAGTCGTAGGACTCGTTCCGGCCACACGTCCCTCACTTCTGTGTCATATGTGACTTAATTCGTGCTGTATGTATTAATAAATCATGCGAATTCTATCTTCAAATTGAAATGCATATATAATGCAAAGAAGTCTTATCTATCTTACTAGATAATGGTAGAGAGCCTCTCGTCCAAAAAGCCATATTTCTTTTGCAGAAGCTCAGTTGTGTAATTATTCTAGCTTGTCTGCTGTAGTTGTTGAATGCGATGTCGAGCGACGGAAACGAAGCGTCGTCATGGCTGACACAGCCCCACTGATTCAGTCTTATCGGAAGAATATCACATTAGAACCACAAGGAAAGACTTTCATTATTGTGGTATTCGATTTATCCACAACTAATATTCAGAAGGATCAAATACTTTGGGTCAGTGTTGCTTGTCCGTCACCCGTTTCGTTCTACAGTTCCATCTATAAGGCAGTTTTTATTTCAGATCAGCAGAGTGTGTTTAGAGTTCGGCGATCGTCACTCAAAGATGTTCGGTCAGCTCGATTTTAATCTCGATTTCCCGCCTCTTCTCCCCTCTACACATCTGAAGTCTACTTTCGGCTCAAGTGCTTTAAGGTGAGTGGTGGGGACAGTTATAGTATCCAGTCTGGCATCTGATTCCACTTATTATCTTCTTCCTTAATACTTAATCTATATGGAGTTCAGCTTATCTTGCCATAATTTCGGCGTTCGCACTCTTCTTCTCTTTAGTTAATACGGAAGTGTTATGAGATAAACAAGGAATAGAACCGAAAAAATACAGAATCGCTGCCTCTGACGGAGGCCTCATTGCCGATATGTCAACAACAAAAGTCGATTGCCTTGTAGCTGAAGTCGCAGCAGCCACAATTATGTTGAGAAATACATCTGGTCACCGAATTACCAATGTCTGGTGAGTTTGAAATGGGTGGTTTTTTTTTCATTTTTTCCCAGATTTATACTCGAAGAGGGTAGAAACGATAAATGGACGCTTTCATTTTTACTCATGGTATGGTATCTGTTAGCGGTAGTCACTCTTCGAAGGAAAAAAATCCACATTTGCTCCAATCCAATTGCTCCAAAAAAATCCAAAAAAAATCCAATTGCTGATGAGTTCATATTTTTTTCCAGAAAAGTGTGGGCACTAGTTCTACCAACGTTAGCAATTGTTTCCGTTTGAGTAGCCTTTGTACTAAATGGGTTCAGGCTGGATTTCAAACGTAACGAGCAACTTTCGACTGAAGCAGTGGCTGTGTTGTTTGTGGACGATAACGATGAACTACGTTCTGAACTGACTGTGGCTGGACCACAAATCGCAGATGCTGAAGAGCTGGTAAGACCACTATAGTTAGCTTCTTGTATCATTATAAATTCTCTTGAAACAACATTCAAAGGTCAGCATTCCTGTACGATTTTCTGCACAGCTGGTAGGAAATATCGACTTAGAACTGGAGGTATGATTTTCTAGAATTTCGTCATACCAACTTTTTTATTTGAAGTCAGGATATGGATATGTGTCAACTACTACTTATTGGTTCAATTTCAGACAAGCTATCAGCTTCCAAATGAAAACGTGCGTCGTACTGGGAGAATTCACCTCTTTATCACTGCTCGAGAACCTCTTACTGTTAATAGCAGTGTGCTTAGTGTGAACGTGAGTTTTATTCCTATGAAATACTTTCTTAATTTTTGTTAAGTGTTTGACTTCAGGGACTTCCTTTGGCCTCGATTCTAAATCACAATGATCATGTGATAAAGGCAGACATTTCGGCCAACGCTAACATCACAATTACGCGTGTTGAGTGGTTATTGGTGGGTTCCAAGGCATTGAATTTTATTCACACCATGGTTAGGCTGTGCACAGTAAACTTTCTAGCATTCTTAAATCGTATCCTCAAGTATTACACATCAACAGGCCTTTACTGTCTTGTTTTTGAGATTACTTCTCAACATCTTAGAGACAGTTCGTGTAGCTTGAACATGATGTGCTCTCAGGTGCAAACACGGATTAAAATTGAGTGTCCGAACCTCCAGATATTTTTGAGGAAGTGTGGTGATATCCATTTTATGGGAAGACTAACTATGATATACCTATTTGTCACATCTACAAAGTTGAATTCTAAGTTTATTTTTTTTTATCTTCAACTACTTCGATGGCACCATATCGCTTCGCTTATTTGGCCGTACAATTTTAGTGACTTTCTGAATGTTTCACGTTGTGAAAAATCGTAATAAGACGGTAAAAAACATGACATCATCTATAAACTGTATGATCACCTACGATTTAGTCAATACGAGTTTGAACTTTTCATAAAATCTCCACACCTATGCAATAATCGTTATCTTTAGCAGGGATGGCCGATATAGAGTTGGACTAACCTAACTAAACTATGATCATAACATGAAAGGCTATGTGGAAGATAGAGATTGCTTCGACAATCAGTGTTTTGTAAGAAATATGAATTAACCTCAAATACACTGCTGATGAAGTTGTGTAGACATGAACGATTCCTTTTTATGTCATTGACATATGTACTTGTATCCATAGAAAGATGAAGAATAAAGCGTTTGGCTTTGATCAAACTCTAAGGGATTACCTCATGCCATCTCCCATATTAAGCATCGTAGAAGTGACCGAATGCACATTTCGGCTATACGAAGTTGCGGTGTCTTACCGATCTATCAAGTCGCTGCCGCTATTCTCCTAGACAACTGTGGTATCAATCTCCTGACCCCAAAGGTAGAAGACTTCATGATCCTGAAGCGTTGGATCGAACCATGGTCTGCACGTTTATTGCAGAGCACTTCTAACCACTGAGTTACATGGGCTCTGTAATCATAGAAGGCCTAGTTATAATGTCTATCTTACGGCTGGGAACATTAGGAATTTCATTTCGAAACAAATTACTTCACTTCAGTGTTATTTTTCGAGTGGAATCAGAGATTGAGTCGATTTATTTTCAGACTATTTATGTGAATATGTGTGTACAAAACAAAGGAGCACATGTTGGGCAATGTGAGGCGTCCTGCAGTATATATGGAATCGACCCCGCTCCCCAGGCGCATGGAGCCTTCCATCCCTCCGGGGCCGCTAAGTTGGTACCAGACATGTCTGGAAGGACAGCAGCGCTGACGCGTTTCATCTATGGGCCACCGCATCTCATTGTATAAGCCAGATATGCATTCAGTCTTCTCTAATGGTGCTTGATGAAGTCGAATGCATGAAGCATCTCTCAGGAATTGTTCAAGGCCGAGAGCTGTATCTTTATATTTATGCAAATGTAGTATGGATTCTACTGAATGTACTGTTCAAGACTAACTTAGGAGCAGTGCCTATACTTTTTCCTACCATCTGGAAGACAAGTCATCTGGTATAATTGCAAGAGATATTCTTTCCAACTATGCAAGTTTTGAAAGTTTAGTGAAGTTTACTATTTGTATGGAAGAGGAAAATGGGCACAAGTGATGTCGTTCATCACGAACATGGTGCTGATGGGATTCCGAACCGGGCTCAGGACGGCTACCTACAAGTTGGGCGGACGTGTTCGTGAACAAACTTAATCAACTGTGCAGGCAGCTGCAGTTATTTTACAGATCACTATGGGACTCGCACGTGCCGCCATGCTCGAATAAAACCACCACCATGGACGACGATTGCGAGGGAAAGAAAAGAATGGCAAATGTGCTGGGGCCGCACAACTCGTGAAGACGGACCGTACAAGTACCTAAGTATCGAAGACTATGCAAAACAGTCACGAAACTTACGAATTAAAAATGCGAAAAAGTATAACAAAAATGAAGACTTAAAATCGTTAGTACACCAACTGACACTTTTATACATCATATATTTAAAAGATAAAAGATAGAACGCTCGGCATTAATCAATCCCTGAGGGATGCGCCATGCATTCGACTTCATTAAGTATTGTAAGCAGCGTGTAAACGAATTGGTCTTCGACTAAATATCACAAAACGATGTTCTTGAGGAAAGAATTAATCACGTATGGCCCACTCATGGTCAAAGAAATGAATATCTCCGAATGGTCCTACTACGTCTGTCGAGGTCCGAAAATCAACATGATGAGCGAGTTATCTCAAAAGTTGAGCAGGAGGAAACGAGCGGAGTGATCACCTTTCAAGAGTGTCGAGAATGTTGTGAAAAGAACAAGGAACACTGGACTCCATGCCCACCTTTTCGACTCCACTGTACTTCCTACTTTAACGTATACGTCAAAAACTTGGTCGCTACGTAACTGGAATTAAAGGCCACTTAGCGTTATTGAACGCGCTGTTGAAAGGACGATGCTAGAAGTGTCCCGTGTAACATAAGTAAGCGAAGGAATCCGATGCTCCAACCTTCGTCAAGGATCAGAAGTCAAAAATGCCGTTCTGTACACCATCTCGTAGATAAAGAGTGCCGGACACGTAATGCGTTTGAACGGCAACCCATGGACAAGAGCCGTTAGTGACCGGATTCCTCGGGTATCAAACACACAGCAACAAGTCCACCGACCCGACGGTATGAGTTCTTCACGAAAAGCCTTGAAGAAAGTTGGTTCTCCATTGAGCTACTCTTGCACGCTGTACGGAGGAATGGTGGATTTACTGATACCCTCTCGAGTCACACGACGATCAATGGAACGATAGGTGATACATGTGATGGAAGAGGAATCATTTGCCGCGTGTTGATATTCAAGGCTTTTAAAATCCCACCATTTTCACTAATTTGTAAGAAATTTTCGCAAATTCAAAAAATGACTGAATTTTCTGCTTACTCTCTATTAATCTTGGCATTGACAAATAAGATAACAATATTAATAAGCCAACGCGAGATTGTCAACACGATATTTATTCGTCAATGGTTATCGTTTCAGTTTCTAGTGGGTTGTATTTGGCATTCAGTCGGCCAAATTTTTTCATGGCTCTGGCGAAAAAATCAAACCTGAATTTCAGTCGGATGGAGGACGACTTATTTAAAATCCGCATAATTTTGTGTACCTTTCACCTATTGAGGGAGATTCGTCTCATTGAGTTTATGTGTATGGGAAATGTGTTCGTCTCAGATTAAAAAGTCAGCCTAAGGTATAGGGCGAAGTTACATGCGATTACGAAGTACTCTTCGTAGCGATTCATCTTCGGGTTTCCAGAGTTTGTCCAAAATTCCTCGACAATTTCACATGTTGGTGTACTAAGTTTCGATGGGGCGATCGTGGTTATTATTTCGAAATTCCTGGTATGTTTTTGTATCCTGTGAGTGTTTAGAGGAGTGCTTTGCCGAATTCTAAGCTTCTGTATAGGTATTCTTTTGCGCATACACAAAATGATCTATCCGTTTTGCCTGTTTGTTCTTCTCTACGCGTTTTCAGAGAGATCAGATGTACGGTGATCGAACAAACGCATTCATCATATTTGTCCTTATTCTTCGTATTAATAAGTAATTCTTCGTATTCTTGTTGAGCAAAGGCAAGGTGTTATTTTTATTCTTTATTCACGACTAAGTTAACGTTTCGGCGGATTTCTCCTTCCTCAGAGCCTGGAAAGGTCAAGTTGACAGCAATCTATTCGGCCAAACACCTCCATAACCAAATAAAACCAGGATTTCAATCACATTGAACATTTCTTTGCACACTCACCGCTTTCTATGAGGCTTCCACTGAGTATGTCGCGCAAAGACCGACCGCACAGAATTCATATGGAAGCGTAATATGCCCCTCCCATCAGAATTGTTCAGAATTCGGTAGGTCCTTCGGTATTATTTGGTAATGTGACCGTCTTTTAATATGTTAATGTGAACGTTCAAAAACAGGAACCAGTTTTTTTCGGTTTCTCCCCTGAATCTTATGTACTCTGGTACGATAAGCGGTGACAGAATAGTAGTCTATCTTTCTGCAGTAATGGCCGGAAACGGACTATGGGAGCTTCAACTTTGAACGCAAGCGCAAGGCTGTTGCCAACTGCTGTTCCAGTGCCAGCTCTGTCATCTGTGCATAAGATTTCCCAGACTATTAGAGGATTGAGCAGTTTAGGCATTTTTTAAGAGGGGCGTGAGCTGCTAGTCTTCAAGCGAGATATTTTAATTGTCCCTTCTTGTAGCAGATCGTTTATGGACTCCATTATGTACTCATTCAACCAATATCTACAAAGTGTAGTAACGTGGAAGGATTCCATCACGTATGCGTTGTTAACAGCGTGTGTGGCATAGTGGTCGGAGACGCCCTGCAACACACGTACAATCGATCCCCGCGTCCATGGTCCATCAAGCCTTCCATCACTCCTAGGTCGGCAAATTGACTCCAGACTTGTCTGGGAGGATAGCAGCAGTTGCTCGATACATCGGTAGGCCACCGCGAGTTATTGTAAAGAGCAGGTATGCATTCAGCCACCTACAAACAATGCTTAATGAAGTCAAATGCATGGCGCATTCCTCTGGGATTGATCATCACCGAGAGGTTTATCCTTTTTATCCTTTATCATCTCGTATTGGGCGCATGTGGCGCAGTGGTTGGAGGCGCCATTGCGACACACACGCGGAATCGATCCGCGCGCCCATGGCCTACCAAGCCCTTTATCCCTCCGGGCTATGTAAATTGGTACCACATCTGTCTAGTAGGGTAGCAGCACTGATTCGATACATCGGTAGGCCACTTCGAATGATTGTGAAGGCCAGATATGCATTCAGCCATCCCTCCAAACGATGCTTAATGAAGTTGAATGCATGGCGCATCCTTCAGGGATTGATCAACGCGGAAAGCTTTATACTTTATCTTTTTTATGCATTGTTATGATACGTATCACGTAGATGTTCTTGGAACATTTGGATGTTTGTAAGATGAGCTGGGATGTGTTTTAGAAACTGGATTAGTATTAGGTTTACAAACCACATTATTCTATACATCAGCCCGTTTACACGGCTTATGAGTCCTACTGTGAACGGTGATGGATCGATAAGTGCAGGTTATATACTAGTACTGCCTTGTGCGTTTTGATAACCATATTTTATAACATGTGGCATGTTGGTAGTTGGATTTTCAGTTCAGGAATAACCGATAGTTTAGAACCTGCCACGCTTACCACTTTGAACTATTTCCTTTCAAATTTTCAGTACTGACTTTTAAATTCCTTGCCAAATGATAAGCGAGAGGACATCTTGGACAAGTTTTCCCGTAATCTCGACATCGAACTGATGAGGGATAACTACGAATCTCCACATTCAACACCAACTGGTACTCACATAGTTTTTGAATGGCTCTAGAATCTGTTGCGTACCACATTTGGTGCTCCTTTGACATTGGAACTAAACTCTTTCTTGTAGTAATGACGAAGGATTTTCAGAGCTTCTGCTTAAGGTATTCGGCAATTTGTATCTAATTCGCCACTGGGATCTCGTTGTATTAAGAACACTCGGCGAAACCCATTCGTAGTGCAGCGCAAACAGCTCGCAAAATTGATGATGCATAGGCCAAGCGAATGTTAACCGGTGTACATTCTAACGCTTGTTTCAAAAATTCCGTCATATCGAATGCAACTTTGAATACAAGGGACGTATCGGACATCCTTATGCTTTTGTCGACGATGAAATGAAGGCCTTGGTGGAAGCAAACACTCGGGCAACTATTTCATGACAAGCACAATGCTTTCAAAGGTTGTACTCGATATGGGTTTCTGTACTGTTTCGGAGCATCTGAAGAAGACTTGAAAGTCGAGTAAGCTCAACAAGTGGATCCCGTAAGGTTTGTTCACATGTCGCACTACCGATGCTGATCCAGATTTCGCTCTATCGACGCAAAATTGAACCAAATCCTAATACTAAGCGCGCATTATCAATATAGGATTCAATTTGAGTCTTCCAGAAACTTCGATTTCAAACAAGTTTGAAATTGAAATCGTATTTTAGACACTACATGTGTATTGTCAATTACTAAATCCTAGTAGTGAAGAAATTATTGACGCTTATAAAGTTGTTTTGTTATGAATGTGTTGGAAAAGAAGTTTATATTGCGTCAAACGTGGTTGTTTCTCCGTAATCATCAGAGATTTCCCTTAATTTCTAGTGTTTCACTAAATGAAAGGTTAAGATGCTTTTTCTTTTTGAGAAAGTTCACATAAAGATTTAATTTTTCATTTAATTTGTAACCGTACATCTATTAAGTGATTTACTTTTGCATTTATCTTTGTTGTATTAGATGATGATCGCATGGACCAATAGCCTTTAGGGGCTTATTAACGAAAAAATAGGTTGCTATTTAGTACTACTTCCTATAGATGTGTTGGCTTAGGCTTTTTCTTTTTATACCTCAATTATTTCATCACTTGTAAAATGGCGTGTAGTATTACCGTATTACCTCCTTATTAGGACCAGAAATAATCGTTTTCTTAGTTTTCCCGTTAAATAGGTTCTTGTTTAAGAGAAGTACTTTTATCCAATGATTTTCCTAGTTACTCTGGTTATTTGTTTGCTTTATTTGGCAGCTTCTTTTGCACAAACTGTTTCACAAATATGGAGAGGTTTTTAAGCCGAGAATAGTTTTTTGTCTGTTTCTTGAAAAATTCAATTATCTATAACTTTGACCCGTAAATATGGAAATTCCAGTTTACTAATAGTGCTCTATTAAGTAGAATACGGGGTCAAACTTTAGGGTTAGTGTTCCAAAGTCAGCGATACAGGTAACGTTCACGTTTTTTAGGCTGATGTTGTGTCACCTGTTGGATCTGAGAGCTGTACGAGAACTACGGAAGGTATTTGAAAAGAATACGATAGTAAAGTTCTTAAAACGTTATCCGTAATCATAATAATTTAATCATGTTTAGTACGACCACGTTTAGAGCGAAACCTAGTAAGTAGCTCTTCTAAACAATACCCTCATGTGTTCCTATTAGAATTACTACTGTAATTTTTTATCATTCATGTCGTGTCTTTGTCATTTTTTTAAAGATTGTCTTACGATGGGTGAAGAAATCAGTTACTGTTGTGCTGTGACCATTAACAGTGCTGAGGAAGATGTTGAAACGCCACTTGGAAGATTGGCGGTCGAGTGGAAAAGGTGAGTGGTCATCATGCGAACTCTATTTTTATTTATTTCTTAGTACATTGATTGTTGCTGGCTTTCGTAAGACCTTGTGGCAAGACTTCCACTTAGTAGTTTTTACGGAGTTAGATGTTCCTGTTTCATATCCTGTTGGAAAGCCATTTCTCATGTCAGAAGACTATTGCTATGATGATTTTCTATCAAAGCATCATATTTGTAGTTGCTAGAACTACTTTTGAACATTTTAACGCGATCGTCACCATTTTATATGCTGCGTCCACATTTTAAAATGATTATAGTGAAAATGTTTCTGGGGTCTCGGACTGCTATACCCAGTGGGGGATTCATTCCACCAGCTCTGAGTCCCTTGCTGAGGAGTCTGGCGTTTCTATTCTGAAGTCCACCTAAGAGTAAACTAATATCGAGATCCACCACCGTCCTGGTATCAAACTAGTCACATGGTGGCAAATCTCTCTCTAATTCACAAAGGTGGCGACTGTCTGAGGTGATGACGACCTGGCGAAGACTTTGGCTTGGCTGACCTCGGGACTCCAGGAAACCACAATAGCAGAACTAACAACTCTTTGGAGCATGAGAATTATGTTAGGTCCGCACAACCATTGAAGATGGGCCGTCTAAGTATCCAAGTAAGTAAGTAAATTGAACAAAAACTGCAACAATTGTCGGTATTTGTGTAGTAATACGTATCTTTTGGTACTACCGTTCAATAACTTCATCAGTCACCGCGTGCTTGTAGTGCTTATAGTCACCGTACTCTAGTTTCTAGCACAAATCTGTTTTATTCTAATGGCTCATTAAAGAGGAGTTTAAGTAAAGAGGTGATTAAATGATAAACTAGTCCTGTATGTTTTTATCACGTTACTACTGCTTAAAGTGGCGCTCACGCTCAGAGTGCCTGCCTAGTTATTTATCTACTTGTTCTATAAAATTCTGTTTTCATATACCAAGTTAAAAGGAACGATCAAATGGGGAAAAACTTTGAAGGACCGATGGCGTAAGCACTGTACGATCGGTGGTACCATTGTGTCGTGTGCCCCTCTTACAATGTCCAATTTCAATCAAGGGCAATTTGTTGGATCCACGAGCAGCAACTGTACGGAGTCCAATTCGGGTCGCCTATTCGATCCGAAATCATAGTAAACAGGTGTGTGATACCTATCTGTTAGAGTTAAAATAATTTTCGCTTCAAAACGTAGTATTTGGTAAAATCATGTAGAAGCTAGTTTATATTTCATCGGTTTCAGAACATGAAAATTTTGCGGAGTTGATCTTTAACCATAGATATCTAGTCTTAGTTCTTTTTCAGGCTATCGAACTAACAACATCGTTCGATTTGGGCGACATGTTCATGTTCTGTGGTGAAAAACGGGTGAGTCGTTATTTCTGTTGAAGAGGCTTCAGTATTGCCCTAAACTATATCACAAGCATCTCAGTAAACGGGCTAGTGACATCAATCGTTGTGTTTTTCAGAGGTATTTTTCTAACTGTTTGAGGGAGAAGTGCTTTCTACGAATGCGCAGTTTTTTTTTATTTTTGTTTCGTGTAATTTTGCTTTGACTAACAGAGCGCGGTGTTGATTACATAACTTGCTCTACATAACTACATAACATAACTAACAAGTTTTCTCATGATTTGTATCCTCTATTTACCAAATATTAGTCTCAAATTTCACCTCTTCTTGCCGGTTTCATCTTCAGTCATCAAGAGAAAGCTAATGTATTAGAAGCGCAGACGATTTCGTCATGAATTCGTAAGTAATGTAGTCCTTTTTCAGGCCGCTTAATTTCTAAGCCGATTAAACTCTTGCTATAACTGAGTATCTTTCACTTGTATCCCTAGATTCCTGCTTTGCATACAGTGCGAGTTTAAGTTTTTATGTTTCGTAACTGCTTACTCAGAGAACCATTTATCACCTCTTTACTTTGACAACACGCTGTTTTTTTCCATAGTTCTGACTGAGTCTAAGTAGTATTGGTCGTTATTTATGTAAGATCAAATAAGTATAAACTATATTAATGACAAATCACATTGGCGTAGTGCACTGCGATTGTTCAGTATGAATTAATCTTTTATAGTCCTGAAATATTCTGAACAGCAAATATGACTGCCTTATTAGAATTTTGAAATATTAATTGTACATTTTCATTATCTGTTTTATTAAGAAAACGTTCTTTCTGCTTCCTTATGCTGTTCACTCCATCATAGTGGTCGTGATGGCACTAACTGCTGGTCGGTTACCGTTTCCAAAGATTGCTCTGAAGTGAGTTTATGTAACATATTCAGTTCGTTCTTCGAACCCTTGGTAATCCTTTCTGGAAGCTATCCATCGTACTATTCGAAACCCTCGTTTTGTATTTCTCTCAACAATTTTTTTTACTCTAGTGGTGAACCCCGGAAGGAGTAAGCGCGGGGTAGAAGCTCACCTGAGGTTCCGAGTTTTGCGCGTGCCTCAGTATTCCTATGGTTGCATTTCATATACTACTCTGCAATAAAGAAGAAAAATAGAAAGCAGATAAAAATTTGCCATTATTTTATGATTTTATTTATGGTTTTTATTTTTCTGTGTAAAATTTTTTGACAATTATCTATCGTTAATGTGATGCTTTTTCATTAGTCAATGAGCATTGCTCGTTAGCTTTTCTGTTAACGAGAGTAGTGCTAATTCGAAGTTAATGTCAATTTTCCTTCTCCTTCCACCCTTAACTTAATGATTCTTTTTTCTGAACTTTTTCAAATGTCAAGTAAAATATTCTCGGATTTTGCAGGTCACCAGAAATTTCCGATGATACGCTACAGCATACCATTCGTTCATTACCCGCCAACCTTTTTGTATTGGTAGGCTTTTTATTTTATCCAATTTCAGCATTATTTTTAGTTGTTCCTAGGTTGGTTCCATGGTCATTTATAATTGAGTGTTCTCACACAGAAAAACATCTTATTTTTCCTGGGGAACCAAGGAAACGATCATTTGTATTATCTGTTACACCTTAGTCATTGGATAACTCAAACAGACATCAGTAAAGGTTGAATGCATTGTCACCGTAGAAAATACCTGTTCACGATGATCAGTGCTTTGTGACGCCAGAGGAAACGAACGACTAATTTCCTTATAATACTGGTTTTGCAGTTTTGCACGTTTTTCTTTGCCGTAATAAAGATTCATTTCTGGTAGCACACCCAGGCGGGTATATCGAGTTCCTCAGGCGTAAGAAAATCCTCCTGGAAGATTACATGCTCCAACATATCTCCTTGTGATCGTTAATGTTTCTTTCTCGTGCACGCTCGAATTTGTGCAAAAATGCTATACTTCTTTCTGTCTTTTTCAGTTAACATGATTTGCGCATTTTGGGGCGAATAATTGCAGAAATTGGGGGAAATTTGTGATCTTGGGTGGTGTGTGGAGATTATAGAACATTTAAAATTGGAAAAAATACTCTCTGAAAATGTGCTAAACTTTCGTATGCTTGGAATTTTATACTCTAAGTTGGATATTTTATACAGAGTAGGTTATATTAGGGAATCAGCACCTCAAATAAGAACTGTGTAAGTTTTCATTTCGTTACGGGCCGAAGCTAGTCTTTTGAAGGCGTGCTATAATCCTTTGCGCGTATCACAGTGGTTAGAGGTGATCTGTAATGACATGGGTTTGATCCCGCACCTCCGGCTCACCAAGACTTCGGATCGGCAAATTGGTACCACATCTGTCTGGGGGATAGCAGCACTGATTCGATACGTTGGAACGCCACCTCGAATGATTGTAGAGCCTAGATATGCATTCAGTCACCCCTCCAGTGATACTTAATGAAGTCGAATGCAAGACGCATTCCTCAGGGACTGATCAACGCCCAAAGTTTTATCCTTTCTTATATTATAATTTATCCATAAATAGAATAGTGCATGAGTCTAGAACATTACAGAATTGTTTGTATCCGCAAAATCCAACGAGGTATTGGAAATCAGTGTCATATTCGGTTAAACGTAATTTTGCTTATTTAATTTTGAATTACGATCCTCGACGAAGAAAAAGGCTAAAAAGCCTTCTCATGGAGTTTGGAGAACTACGGTTTGATCAGAGAACTTTTATCCTGTAGACAAAAATTTGTAGATTCTAGTAATTTTTGTTATAACTGAAAAGTTTCACTATGAGCTGAAATATGCTGGTTTGAAATTGAAGCAAGCCGTTATTTCCGTGTTCTATGACTCCTATAAACGTCACGCGTTCACGTAAGTGTTGACGATATTAACAATGATCGAAAGCCGGAAGTGTTCAACGCCGACGAACTTTGTTCATATTCAGTACGTAAGCGAGATTATTAAAAAAAAAACACCGAAAATTGTGGCTATACGGTGAACACCTACGCGACGACTATTTTTGCATGGAACAACGCCCAATTACCTGCCCTTATGGAATTGCTGATCTTTCTTTTTGCAACGGAACGATAATTTTCCCATAATGAGAGGTCCTGAGGAATTGAGGTGACTGGATTATAGAAGAAATTTTGCTCTATCGCTCTAATAGAATAGTGCAGGAGTCTAGAACATTACAGAATTGTTTGTATCCGGTAACATGAAACACTATTGTAACATATCGTAACAATTTGAAACACATTTGAACAATTGAAAACTGAAAGACACAACAACAATTTGTAACACTATTGACATATCGGAATGAAACAACAGCCAATTACAAGCCAAACTACCGGTCAATAAACTCATCAGAAAATGGTTTTTGCAGCCCGTTAAGTGTGGAGGATAGCTTTGTGTGAACGACGACCACTACAACATCTGCGTTAGATAATCGATTCATTATGTGAAGTGCAAGAAATAGTTTTGCGCATCAAAATAAACTATTGCAAGGGAGATGATTTCTAGAGGATCATGCAGCTCCATTGTCTTCTCATGTATGACCCCTGTAGCGTTAAGTTGTCGCTTGGTCGGGGTTTTAACCATAGATCATGACAGAGCATCTAGTAATTTCTGGTAGGTGCAAAAAAAAGTTTAGTTACGCCGTTGAAATTACTTCCAAGCAATAAAAGACATTATTTAAACTTGTGTCTCTTAAACGTAGGCTCCATTCGATAGTAAATTTCTGCATAGTTATACTTAACCACAAGTTGTTAGTGAAATAGCGAACCGTGTCGCGTTCTACCACTCTTTGTCTGCGAATATCCCTATATTGGACTTGTTAGTTTTTACCTTGTTTTTTATTAGTTTTTTTTTAGTTCTTTTCATGCTATTTTCCAAGTACTCAAATTGTGTTTGACTATTTGAACAGTCCTCCCAATGGTTTACCGCCTCGTCATAGCTGAAAGGTGTTCTTGGGTATTGGACTGCGATGTACGGCGGGGATTCTCAGCAGGGTCTCCCAAGCTAAGAAGGAGTCCGGTGTTTCCATCACCAATACCAGGATACACCACCGCCTTGGTATCAATGTTGCATAGTGGTAGATCTTCCTCTGATCCAAGAGGGCTGCGACTACCTATCGTGGTGACGACCGGGGGCAGACTTTGGCCAGGCTGTCCACGGGATTCCAGGAAACCACAATGGCTTAACCAGCAGATCTCCGAAAAATGGTGATTATGCTGGAGCCCGCACAACTAGTGATGACGGGCCGTTCAAGTATCAAATATTTGAACAGTACACAAAGCTACCATTGTTCTGATAGACGCGATTTTTTTTAATGCATCGCAATCACAACTTCATATAAAATACGTTGGCGCTAGTTCGCTTTTCTCTACCGTTGCCCAAGGTTCCTGGTCGTCGGTCGACCTGTGAAAGGCGTTGCCTCGTTCTGAGTAATCAAGCTCAGTAACACTTCCTTTCGGCAACTCTGAAAGAATAAATCTACGTCACGACAAAGCATGTTAGGATATCCGTGATTGCGTTTTTCAAAAAAAAACCATGGAAATAAAGAAATTTTGCCGGAACAGTAGGACAGGAAAAGCTGGATGTTGTAAGCAAAGATTTCTAGATACCACTTATTCTTACTGTATTTCACGTAGTACACTCATTGGTGGAATGAGATATGTTTTGTTTGAATTTGAAAGGCGTAGTTGTTTTCAGGTACTGTTTTGTCGTCGCATTGTCTCGAATCTGTTAGTGAGATAATCAGTTAATGAGCAGAAAGTGGAAAGGGCTTCATTTGAATTATGGTACACATAACCGTATGCTATTTTAGGCGACATTAATGTAGTTTTCCGACAACAGCAATATTTTATATCATTCTGCAAATCAAATTATAAACGCATGTAGTAAGTATATTGTTAAAAAGAGTTCTCATCTAGTACTTGCACCATGTCAGTGCTTGCGTTATTCTAAAAATAGTGAAGTCAACGTTGTGTTTTTTTTTTCGGAGAGAAACACTTCCGTTTTATAATGCCTTATTCAGTGCACACGTATTGCAACTTTCGAAGGAATTGTCGCTGTTGGAGCTTAACCCTGCTTGAAGAAAGATTATCACCATGTTTATCTGTTTAGGCATTGAGGTCATAATTTCCAAGACTGAGTTTCCATTAATCTCGGTACTGATTAATAGCTCACTGTTTTTCTTCGATAGCCAAACACTGAGGCACGTGTGGAGCATTGGTCGGAGGTGCCATGCAGCATACACGAGGAATCGACCCCCGCGCCCATGGTCTACCCAGCCTTTCATCCCTCAGGGGTTGGCAAATTGCTAGCAGACTTATCTGGGAGGATAGTAGCACGGGCACGGTACATCGATTGGCCACCGCGAATCATTGTAAGGGCCAGATATGCATTCAGTCATCTCCAAACGATTCTTTACGACGTCGAATGCACGGCGCATCCCTCAGCGATTGATCAACGACGAGAACTTCATCCTTCATTTTTTTAACCAGACAAGGTGTTGATATTATAGGACTTATTAGAATACAATAGGTGATGTTTCGGCGGTTTCGCTTTCTTCAGAACCTGGAAAGTCAAACTGATATGCAATATACTCAACCGAATGCACTCATTGCCTCAAAAACAGTGCTTTATGTCCGTAGTTCAATCCCATTGCTCGGTCATTAGGCCTTGGGGTGGTCAATTCGGCGCCCTAGATCGCTGGAAGTATTTCTGATTACGTAATTTGTTTAGGTGTGTTTCCTTCCTTAATTTTTTAGCATCAGCATTTCAAGCTATTTATTGGTTCGACAATGTTTAGATGAAAGTATAAAGGACAAGGCATTCCACGTGATAGATCACTTAGGGTTGCGCCTTGCGTTCGGCTGATTTCATGGAATCGTATAGGTGATTGAATGCATGTTTGCATGTTCAACCAGCACGGTGTCAGCCGAGAGGTTGCGGAAGTACCAAGACGGTGTTTCTATCCACCCATACAGGTCTGGAGCCATTTTCTCGACCTACTTAGATATCTTGGCTTAGTTTGCCAAGGTTGCGATGTTGAACTGAATACAGTGCATTACAGGCAACCTCTAGCCAATGTGCTTCTTTGAGTTTTTTTGTAGGTAATACTGATATGAGTTGACCAGTGCTTGTACAATTAGTGCAATTTGTTTGGTTACCGTAATTATTGTAGAAAGAGGATGTTTTCCTATTTTTTTCCATCGTTTTTTTTTATGAAGGATGTTTGTAAATTCAATGTGTTTTAGCCTTGTGCGAAGGACAAGAAAACTTCGGAAGCGTAGGAATGTTTCGGTGCTGGTTGCTACATATGGACAAGTGGCGAAAAATAGGAGAGCTTGTGTCGATATGAGTATCTAAAGCTGGCGAACATTCTATGTTGCATATAGTAAAAATCAAAATTGGTCTTGGTCAAAGAGACCATGGCATGAAGAGCAATCTTGTCAGCAGTCTGGTTTTATGTCAGCGTTCTGTAGTCATTTCTCTTTGCCAAGCAAGTTGAAATAAATTGCAGCAGTGTGAATATGAAAGAGGATGTTTAATTGTCTCAATGGCCCGCTAGAGATTGCCTCATCCATCATGGTCCTACTATACAAGATAGTTGCTGATCTAATACCTTACTGTATAATCCGTATTCATTTTTACAGTGCATTCTGTGGCAGTCAGAAACATACGCTAGATGGCACAAAGTGAAGCGTTATTTGTAGAAAAGAGAGTTTTGTGAAGGAAAAAAAAGGAGTTTTACTTAGCGTGGGCGTAAGGAGCTAGTGTGCTTGTTTAAATTGTGCTGTTTACCCTAGGTTGTTCCATAACCTTTATTCGACTAACGTGTCGACATTTTTGTCTTCTTCAGAGTCGATAGTCAGTCGATCGTCCTCGCGTCGTAGGTTTTCGTAGTCGTATGGGGTCGAATCTCGAGTGAAGCACCACTTTTCTCTGAAATTTTCCCACAGTTTAGAACTGTCGACGAAATGAGTGGCATAGTTACGACTTGGGTCGGTTATGTTAGGGTTACACTAAAAGAGGCCTACAGAGTCGGATATCGCCTTAGTTGGGAGCGTTGCTAGGGTTTGTACGATTAATGAAGACGGGGTTCTCATGGGCTCCTGTAGCTAGGTAGCTGTGCTCCACTTTGAACGAATGGTCATGTTATTTTCTAGAAGGTCGCGTCAAGTAAATCATCTGATTCAAAGAACATTATAGTTAGCCTTCTTCAATTTCCTTCCCATATTTTCCATGAGGAAGAGCAGCGCGATTTAATAAAGTGTCACTTCAACCATTGGTGCTCTCTAGACCCATCAGTACATTTTTGAAGCTTTCGAAAATCGAAGACCATTGAGAATAAATTCATCTAAGCTGATAAAGACATAACTTGATAAGTGACACTTCCAGGCCATCGCGTGTGCCAAATTACTACTCATCGTCTCACTGATTTCACAACTGGAGCATAAACGTAGAGCTACATCTGCTGGGATTTAGGGAACAGTTTGAACTGTCCTCTGCTTTGTATGTTTTAATAGCACCTGTTTTAACATTAGCCACTGGTAGTTAGTTTTTAAAGCTTGAGTGAGACCAAATGCTGTAATGTTCATTTGTTCATCTTTTATATCCATTTCTACTTTGTGACTCTGAAATGCTGGGCAGAATAGTTATCTTGTTGAGGCGGTGCCACACAATTTCACAGGTCCATCCTATCTGAGTTCGGAATTCTTATCTGGAAGTCCAGCTAAATATAAAACTGTACGGCGAATCATCGAACGGGTTAGAAGCTGGCTTTCCGACCCACATATTCAGGCAAGGGCCTGCGAGGACGATCTGAGAGAGCCTTACTGCGAATCTCGCCGGAGCGATAAATTGCTAACGAAGTTAAATACGTTACAAAGTTAGTTTTGCAATAGTTCGTGGTTTCTTCAACTTCTGAATGCCTCGGCTCTATAGCCTAAAGGCGAAACAGACTGGGTAAATTTCATGGCTTTTAGTTCTGATGAAATCCACCAGACACTATTAGCCTTTTCCCGTTGTATCCCATAGGAACCAACCGGATAACAAAGGTTAACTGACTGGTAATTCAAAATTACAAGGAAAGTGTTCTTTAGATTTCCTAAAACATCGTAGGAATGATATCATGAGAATGGGACCACTCCTATTCTGGCAATTTTTCAAGAGCCAATGCGTTGAGGTGTTACGGAAACACACAAGATGGGCGGGTATATGAGGCGGAGTTTGGTATGGAGCTTCAACTGTGGCTGCCACAGAAAGGTGTCTTTCCTTGCACGGTCGGATTAGTGATGATGATGTTCCGACTGTTTGTCGGATTCGGATTCACATGCGTTCTCGTATTTCTTCTGTTCGTCGATGTTCATGCGCAAAACTGTAGCGATGCGTGCCTAGAGCAGACGGCCCGATTCCGACTCGAAGACATTAAGGTGAGTAGAAGTTATAAATGCTAAACGATATCGGTACTTTTGCTCCATTCGTCTACACTAGTGATTTTCATGACGAATGAAGAGGCAGAAAAGTGGGCGTTACAATGCTTGCTTGTTGACCATGTTGTTAATGTCACAGTGCATTCGTTCAGGATGGAGATCTAAGAGTGAAAGCCAAGTTGGCTATTCCCAGTTACTCTTATTGACTGTGGTGGATTACTACTCACCAAAAATCAGGAAAACATGATTTTTGTTACCATTTTTCTTCAAATGCTTACGATTATTCCATTGCTTATAAACTTAAGGCATTATTTCTATTGGATCTTTTTTGCTCTTTATAGGAATACGGTAAGGTCTATCCTAGTGTCTTTTTTGACACCGTTCACAAGTTTATAAAATTCTTCAGATCTGCTCCGTATTTTATCCTAATTATGTCACAACACCACCCATGAAAGTTAGAGATTCATCAGAGAATTATTACTAGTTAAATCGTTCAGTGTTTCCCATGTTCTTACAAGAGCGGTTAAGTTTACATGAGTTTTCGTCAGTAGTAGTTTCCCCGATTACGTCAACTTATAATTCCGAAGACGCAGGATAATTTTCACTATATAGGTCGTAGTGGCTCTCCAGAGGTCCATAAATCTTAACTGCATATTTTTTTGCCCTAGTGAAAATAATACACATAAATCATGACTGTTTTCACTTGGAGAGAATTTCTAATCAAGTGCGTAAAACATTCGGACTATCTATTACGTTACTTCACAGCGACGATGTTCTTCAGAGTCGTCTACTGGAATCGATGGGCATGCGTGAACCACCGAAGATCGACGCAGTCGAACTTCCTCCTTCAGCAATCAAAGAGATAATTGAAGGAATGAACGAATTTGATGAAATACAAGATGAAGAAGATGCAGAGAAAACGTTTATTATGGCCGTACATCCATCCGGTGACACGTTTTTCAACAATACCTAGCTCTTACTTTCCGAATAGACTCATTAAAATTGTTTGAACACGAGTGCTTTATTTTGTGACGACTATATTGAGCTCGTCGTCAATGTCAAACCATTTTGTCTTAGAGTTGCAACTTCATACAGGATATGCATATTTCCCTGGAAATATTAGCAATTAAGAGCAAAAAAGCCAGGAATCATTTAATGTTTCAATGTCTATCGTACTGCAGGAGGACATGACACTTTGATCGCTCAATTTCCCGTCTCATTAACGACAATGTTAAGAAAAGTGCTAAGCGTACGTGTTTTTCTACCGTACCCCATCTAAAAAATATTATAGTATTACTGCAGTACACTCATTTCAGGCCTACTTACACATTTCCCTTCATGTAGATGAACCGCTACCGGAGCCGGTACCAGTGACGATTATTGTACAAGAGAAACTTCTAAACGGAAAGGTTAGAACAACATCGTTGTATGCCAGCGCGAAAACCTTGAACACATTCTGGACGATATGACTTGATTGAAGCCCGTATGTGGCCGAGAATAAATGAACGTTTGAGTTTTACGAGAAAAGGATATACCTCAGCATAGATTCCGCTGATCTTTAATAGTACGGCACCAGTGTGACCACTCTCCCAAAATGAAGTTTTCCTTTTATGAAGCACAGTACAAAAACTCTTCGTTACGGCTATTTCGAGCAGCCAAGCGGTTTGACTAACGGGATTTCGTCAAGTAGGACAGATGCTGCATTCGAATGTGTTTTCAGTGAAGTCGTTGTGTTTGCGTTTAAAATTTCGAATCTTTTAAAAAATACATTACCTTCTTTTGAATTAGAAAGTTAGAAAGGTTTGATAGAAATACTGCATCAGAAAGTCATGTGCACTCCTGCAGTGATTTCATAAAGCTTCTTCTGTTTGTGAGGTGTCCATGTCTTTCGGCCCAACACTTATTGTCGGGAATTTAGCTGACGAAAAACTTGCCTAGTGCGCTAATGGATCGAGATGTCGATACTTCATAGCAAACGATAAACTGTATTCAGCTCGGTGACGTGGTCGCAACAAAGAATGTTGAGGTTCAACGAAGTGGTAACGTGGTGTTAGAGCTGAACAGTCGTGATGTCGAGAGGTGAATTTTTCAGTATCAGCTTGCTCTCATAGTGCTTACTCGTTACGACAACGTTGTTGTCACACATGCACGCGTCAATAACGACTCTATTGTTTTTGGTAAAATTTACTACGGTGATTCACGCTATGGAGAGCAAGAAGGTTTGTTGTTGGTGATTTAAGACGTCAAAGCAAGAAAATATAACAAGTACAAGATGCCGAATATTGTTGCCTACACGAAAAACGCATGGACTGTTCCATTCACGAACGACGTGGTCTAGAAAGGGCACATATAGAGCAGTTGCCAGAGGTGCACTGTATCGCAGACCATGGTTACTGATACAAACCTTTGCTGCGGACCTTACAAAACGAGCCCTCCATCCATCTATGGTTGACAAATTAGTGCCAGACTTGTTTTAGAAGGTGAAAAAAAGCGTTGACCTTACACATTAGTAGCCCTTATAAGTCATTTATGGTGTTCAACTAAACATGAAATCACGTCCCATCTTTCTCACCTCTACAGTGTTCCATGGAGTCGAATGCATAAAGTTATCTTAAGGGACTGATCAATGCCGAGCGCTTTAACCATTTGTCTTTCAATACATGAAAACAACTAATTTAGTGAATGGGATTCAAATAGCTCTTTTTCAGATGGTGGAGGACGGAACCTATCCTGGGTCTCTACGTAATCGGCATGCTGAATGGAAGAAATATCGTTATGCATCCACGAGAAATCCGGAATTCTCCTAATGTGAGGAACTGTCATTCCGTTCTCTCAATTAACCTCGTTTTCAACCATTATATATATATATATATATATATATATATATAGTGGCTGAACTAGATGTATATATATATAGTATGCAGTAAGTATATTATATGTATATATATATATATATATGTATATACTTACCTATTCACTCACTTGAATACATGGATGGCCCGTCTTCACTGTGTGTGCAAGCCCCAGCATAAACATCACTTTTTCGGAGTTTTCTTGGTTAAGCCGTCGTGGGTTTCCTGGAGTACCGAGGTCGGCCTGGCTAAAGTCTGCCCCGCCTCACACACCCCACCACAGACAGTCGCCACCCTTGTGGATTAAAGGAGGATTTTCCACCGTGCACTGAAAATTTGGATCTGTAAAAGTGAATTTAAAAATTTACTCGATTTTCCTCCCATCTCCTATCGGAACGTCTCAGCGACAAATGACCTTATGCGAGTGTAAATTTGAACTGACTAAAACTGAAGTTGCAATGTATAACTTTTTATTCACTGCCTCTTATTTTTTCACAGTGGGGTCTTACGTGAAGTACAACCTCAGTTATACTGAGATATTCTCAAAACATGAACTATAGGCCAGATTCGAACCCACGATTGTCCTCTCCGGGGTTTCATGTATTCCCTATTATACCACTAAGTCACTTTCTTTGCCTTTCTCGTACTCAGTTTTCCACCCTAGCGGTGCCATCAGCATTCGCCTGCCAGCAGGAATAAACGGACTTTGTGAAAGCTGAAGTGACTACAATCTTGTGGTTTCACATTCATTCCAGTACGATTTACCCACTTTTCCATAAAAACTCGCTATTTCATTACTTCTTCACACCAAAAGATAAATAATAACACACCATTTATAGTTGAATACTAAAGGAATATAATTACTTACTTACTTGATACTTGAACGGCCCGTCCTCACTAGTTATGTGGGTCCCAGCATATTCACCGGTTTTCGGAGATTTGCTGGTTAAGCCATTGTGGGTCTGGACTCCTCAGCTTGGGAGACCTTGCCGGGAGGACGAATCCCCGCTATACATCGCAGTCCGACACCCAGGAACACCTCCCAGCCACGATGAGACGGTAAACCGTTGGGAGGAAAGAATGTAATTGGTGTGTTGAAATCGTCTCGTGCAATCTCTTCAAATGGTCAATCGACTAACCGCTAAAATCACTGCCGTTAGAGGAAGTCCTAAGGGAATCCGAGTTCCAAGAATACAAACCCCTCCTACGATCTACAATGGCAACCTCTTATAAGAAACTAGGAACCCTCTAACAGTGCCATCTCAGGTTTCCAAACAAGATCGGGCTCGGACTGGTTTCAATGTGTTAATAAGGAGATGACATGACAGATATGCAAGTCGCTCTCGAATTTGACCTAATCTGTCTGGATAGCGGTTGCTACACAGTGAAAGAAATAAAGGAAGTGTTATGATGCACTTGACAGCTGTAGACGAGTCATATACGCATATGAAAAGTGTGTTGCTGTTTATTTCTCCTTGGGAGAAACTTCTGACATATTCGAAAAAGATCGGCCTACGAAAAACTTTCAAAATATTTAAATGTATAAAAAGCACTGGCATTTTTTCCTTAGAAAAAATAAGGTGGGACAATGTGGGTTGCAAATGGAAGAGATCTTGAGCAGATTGTGTAGTTACGTGTGGTACTGAAGAGGGCATTATAACCCGCCCAATACATCTATTTATTTGCCGCAGACACAAATGGACTCAGAAGATGGGCATTCTGCCTCTGTCATGTCGTAATTGCTTGTATTTTCTATATGTAGGCATTTTTTTCCATACTTCGTAACACAATATACTTCCTTATACGAGGCTTTTGTCTTACACGTTGATCTCCTCATAACGCCATTATCAAGTGGCTGACATGTATTACATAGAAGAAGGTTCTGAGTCATTTCCAACATGGAAGCGTAAACTTTTTCTAGTAATTGTAAAGAAAGTACTAGCGAGTATACCTAGACGCCGTGAGAAAGCCCAGTGAGCTTCTCAGGCTAGTCTGTTCGCCATAAGCAATGAAAATAGAAGACTTCACTTAAAAACTTGATTCTCCTCTCCTTTCTTGGGCAGACGAAACTCATATGGAAGCTCAGTCGTGCGCTTAAGACGAATGGAAACAATAGTGGTACTTCTTTTTCTTCTTGATGATTATCTTAGTTATCTTAGTCTAGGCAATACAGCCATGAGTTGAGGTTATCGTGAACAAGGATTCAACTGAAATCAATATAATAAACATATACATCAATTCATTAATCAAATCGTGATGAAATGATGAAATTCCTTGCTTTTCGATTTTTCTAAGCTAATTAAACGATTACTGTACTGTAAAGACTTCCAACTACCAAGGTGTTTGCAGTCATTGTGACCTTATGGATTTCATTCTAGTAGATTATCTCTCTTTAGACGATGTTTATGTCACTTACACTGTCCTCGGACTCACAGTCCCGACGAAAACGTAGTCCTTTAGTATGCAAGCCTGAAGATCACGAACCTGGCTGTTGTCTTTACGATCTTACGGTTTGTTCCTTTATCCTGTTCATTTACTGGTCATTAACAGTGTCAGTGATGACATGCTTTAAACTAGTTGCAACTTCGGCACCTGTGAGAAAACATCTCACATTACTTTTTTTGTAAAATCTAAGGAGGTGCTATCGAAAACGTTGTAGACGCTGATGGGCTACGTTATGTATGCGTAGGTGCGATAGTAAAAAAAAGAGTTCTACGCGGTAAATGGATAAGGCCTTCATTGGACATCCGTTCGGATTACCACTTTTATTAGCATAATTACCAAGGAAATTCGCACTCTGAGCATATGTGGATGAAATAATTTGTAAGCATCTAGTGCTGAAACTCTCGTTGATATGATTGATTACCTGTGGTCCGATCCGGTATTAGACAAGGTTGTAGCGGAACGTAGTTGTTCCTTCGGTGCTGCTTCATGGTTACCTCTTATTCATTATTTAGAGTTGTAATAACATCATCCAGCACATCCAGTTAGCTCACAAATGACAAGCCACTTTCGTTTACCGTTCTAGTGCGTAATTTTAAACGCTTTCAGGTAGACTTCCAACAAATGGGTTGGAAGTTCATTATAGCTCCGCATAAGTACAATGCTTATATGTGCAAAGGCGATTGCTCAGTCAGCCACGCTCATGTGAGTTTTTTAAAAACGCATTTATGCCATTCTTTTATTCATAAATCAAATAACATAGACTAGTCATGTATGCTATTCGGAGGTGTAAAAAAAATCGTAGGTAAGTCGATCCGGACACACAAGAGTTGCCAAGACGGGAATTATCACTAGGCAGGATGCGACAGGAATCCAAACAATGTGCTGCCATCCTTCTGAGTACGTAAAATTTTCTATTAAATCAACTAGAGCTCTTGCCTTAAGTTATTTTGAGTAGTTAGCTTTATAGTTGTTGGTGACGAAATGTTTAATGAATACAACACACGCACTCGCACACGTACATGCGCACGCACGCACGAACACATATACACGCACACGCACACACACACACACACACACACACACACACCCAAACACCGACATACACATGCACATTCATGTACCAATGTATATGCACACACGGATGCATAGAAATACAATATGTATTATAATATTATACACATATATAATATTATATGCATATATGCACATTTACATGCGCATTAACCCACATACCCTGTCCGACGTCGCATCTGAAGGCTTTCCGCATAAAAAACGCCGTTGGAGTTATATAGTGATGGCTTTTCACAATGGCTGTATCTCGGTGCACGCTTGCAGAGATTGCTAATGCGATATTATTCATGGCAGTTGTGGTGATTGTTGTTAAAAAGTTTATCGGTACTTTTACTACAAGAACGTAGCGCATAATGTGCACGTGGGCATGAGGATGAAAAAGAGAAATAGCAAGAGAAAGAAATGAATCGGTTTCATAACTTAACAGTATTTTTGACCCGTAAATGGTTAGGGATGCACCGCAATTCACTCCGGGCCATTGGTCCAATCCTGCGCCACTAGCTTACCAAGCTTTCCATCTCTCCAGTATCTACAACTTGATACCAAACAAGACTAGAAAGATAAAAGTACTGACTTGATGCATCGATAGGACACTAAAAGTCATTCTACAAGCAAAATACACATTCAACCGCCTCCACGATGCTACGAATGAGATCGAAATTATGACACATTCCTCAGAAATAGATCAATGCCGAACGCTTTATCCTCTATGCTTTAACGGTTTTTCTTTTTCGGAACATGCTTCTCATTGCCACTAGACGTTTGTCTAGCTGATTTTTCTCGACTGCAAAAGAAAATTGAAATTTATATAGCCCCCTTCACAAATCATGAAGATTTTCTCCTTGTCACAGTTCCCATTGGATTTGCAATTATCTGGCTAGGCACGATTCTATTTTCTTGGAATCTTGAAAAATATGCGTTGGTTGCCTTTCCTCTTCATTACTTGCCAGTTAGTGACAGTGTTATTGTAGAGATAGCATGGTTTCTTGGTATTGATTTACTCTTAGCTGGGCTTCAGGATTGTAATGTTGAACTTCTTCGTAGCCTGAATAACCTGGTGACTGATGTACTTCCGCTTGAAATGATACTCTTTTAAACTATTTTGCGAAATGACAGCGGCAGTAATGTTGATTGAGATTATATTGGAATACATCACGCAGCTTATCCAAACAATTAACTGGTAGAATTACGTGGATACTTGGATGGCCCGTCTTCACCGGTTGTGCGGGCTTCAGCATAAATTCCATTGTTTTGGAGTTTTGCTGGTTTAGCGATTGTGGTTCCATGAAGTCCCGAGGTCAGCCAGGCAGACGTCTGCCCATGTCGCCACCACTACAGGCATTCACCGTCCTTGTGGACCAGAGGCAGATTTACTACCATGCGACTAAATCCATACCAAGACAGTAGTTGATCCTGGTATTGGTTTACTCCTAGCTGGGTTTTCTGATGGAGCCATCGGACTGTTTCTCAGCCTGGGAGACCTTGCTGGAGATGAATACCCCGCTGTAGATCACAGCCCGACACTCAAGAACACCTCCTAGCCACGATGGGGAGGTAAAGCGTTGTGAGAAACTAGTAAAGTTAAACCAAAAAATAGTGAAAATGCGCTCTACTCACCTCACGTAAGGCAACATGGCTTTGATTTTGTTATGAGGATTTATCAGTGAGTTCTAATAAGTGCTGTAGACTTTGTTGTATAAAATCATAGGTTGAAGATAATTTATATGTTTTTGACATAGTAATCAGTGTGTTTAAGGCGCAAATCAGATTTATATACGCTTTTTCATGGGTAATATAGTGGAATAAGTATGCGGTTCCAAACGACGAACGTTTTCCCTTTTGAAAATACATCAGGTCTGATGGGTTGAATAGCTGCATCACCAAGTGATTGGAAAGAGCTGATTTATCAAAACTTCACGGCTACACATATTCCCTACTGTAGTTCAGCTGCGGCAGTAAGTGTCGTATGTGTGTGTATGTATGTGTGTGTATGTATGTATGTATGTGTGTATGTATGTATGTATGTATGTGTGTGTGTTTGTGTGTTGATATTACAACCAAGTGCGTGTGAAGAAAGGTGGTTCAAGTGGTCTGAATAAGTTGATGAATATAATTATTTAAATAAAGCAACGTTATTTGCGAATCTATGTTAAGCAGTTTCCCCTCTTCTTTTATTCTCCCTTATTCCAATCGTTCGTCAGCAGCTCGTATTTGTCCTTTAAGTTCTTTCAAAATCGTTGATTTGGTAGAGTAAACTCTCTCTCTAAACCAACCCGAAGAAAAAGTTCGCAGGGTGTTAAGTTAGTGCTTCTGGTTGATGACTCATGTGAACCACGACGGCTCATTCGTTGTTAGAGGGTAGGATGTCCAGTCGTTTTTGTAGGATTTCCAAAGTCCAAAGAATGAACTAAAAGAAAACAATCTAATTAAGATATCTCCTACTCATTGAGCTCAGTTGCAAGCAATAAAACACGAATGAGTTTCGTATCCACTCGATACACAAACTCCAGATACGACGCAGTACGAATGATCTATATGAACGGTGACAATCAGGTGACGATGGCTCGTGTACCAGGAATGATTGCTCGGAAATGTTCATGCTCCTGAGAGTATTCTACTTCACAGGCATACTTCAGCGTTCAATTGAAGTCCTTTAGCGATCCAGTCATGTCGCTTGAGCACATTGTTATGATCCTTCATGAATTGAACTGTGTTTACCTCGTAATATGAGAATAGCATATCAGAAATATCTGCGTTTTCCGTTCCTTTCCCATAGTCGTAGTGACTGTTGCTCTCGCTTTCCTCTTTTCCTTATCATCTTATGTCCTCAGTTATCATGCCAATTTCGCCCTTGTGGATGTGTGTGTGTGTGTGTGTGTGTGTGTGTGTGTGTGTGTGTGTGTGTGTGTGTGTGTATGTGTGTGTGTACGTTTCTATACGTATGGGTTTGGTATACGTGTATGTGTGTGTAAGTATGTGTGTATTTGTGTGTGCATGTGTGTGTATATGCTACACGTGTGATATTTCTTTGTGTTGCTATGTTAAGCTGTTAGTCAGTTCGCCTCATATGTTATCGCTCGCACATGTCGGTTTGTTAATTGGCGAACAACGAGTTTTTTTTGACGAATGATTTTACTTCTAATTTTCATTTATGGATCATTACTTTCATGTATGTTTAACTTTTCTTGATTTCTTCTACTCTTTGATAATCTCCTTTGTGACATCTCATTTTACCCTAAGGCATCCTACTTCCCGCTTGTAAATCTCCTTTGAATGACTTGTTATGACGTTTCAGTTCGTTTGGTATAAATGATCAGTGTATTGAAGACTATAAGGAATAAGGCTTTTACAACCTACAAAATACGCTACGTAAATAAGGAACGTATCTGAGCCAAGAGCAATACAAAGCACAAGGCATCAATTAGAAGATAATCTTTCCCGGTTACAGGATTGTGTCTTCCAGTCGAGTTTTCTTATCTTACCCACCAAGTAGTTGCATTTAATAATTTTTTTCCAAAATACTCTGTAAACAGTTGAAAAAGTCTACTAGATTCCATAAAAAGGTGTGATTCCACGTTTGGCTGAATGGAATACCCCGCTCTATGCTGTGCCACAGTGCCAGATGATTCACTTCTGCTTAGAACAACTCGATTCGCATCATTTAAGTCGTTCGTGCACCAGATTTCGGTCCTGTACTCACCATCTGTAAAGTAGGATCGGATATGAGCTGCTGATGACCACAGGGCCTCGGTTATCTAGGCTTACCTTGCAACAAAAGAACGTTTAGCGCAGTGGTCGGTGATACCTTGCAATATCTATGTGATCAAAGTTTAACTTTTTATTTACTGCTATTATTATTTCATCGTAGGTTATTACGAGGAGCACAACCACAACAATGCCGGGAGATTATCAGTATTAGTATCACTCTATCTGATTTCTTGTAAAGCGTTTGGGGACGAATACGTTGGCGAAACGGGTAGACCACTCTGCGTGCGTATAAAAGAAAACTTAGTCGACAAACGTAAACCAAATACTCCACTAGGCACGTATAGGACGCAGAGACATAATAGAGAAGATTTTGAAGTAGTGGCTACGATCCTCGCGCAAGAATCGAGAACACAAGTGCGCAAAACTCTAGAGGCATTCTGGCTTAATTCCAAGAATCCGAAAATGAATCGCAGGGAGGAACGCCCCACTATCACGTGTGATATTGGGCAGTATATAAGCCTGTTATTTTGATGAGATGGGAACAATACGATTCCATGTGGACTCTGTGCGGTTGGTCTCCACGTGACATGTTTAGTGGAAGACTCATAGAAAGCGGTGAGTGTGGAAAGACTGTGTTCAATGTGATTGAAATTTTGGGACGTGGGAATACTGGGAGATTTGCAAAACTCGGAACACCAAACCAGGTTTAAACCCTTTGCGATGGCTCACGTGTAACCGATCTTACCATGAGGACCCTATTCCGCCTTTTTCTCAGCCAGTCTTTTTTATCTCAGGAAGGTAATCACGGCTTCAAAACTGGCCTTGGGTACCAAATTATACAAATATCTCACATTGTGGTTAACTATGGGACCGTTAGTTGAGTTCCACACTAGACCCAACCAACTTTCTCTCCTCCTTCGTAAACGGCAAATCAGCATCAGACTTGTCAGAGATGGTGAAGAATTTCGGCCTTGGGATATTGACAAAGCAATTCAAGTCAAACTACAAGCCAGATATGCATTCACTTACCCCCAGGAATAAAGTCGAAAGCGTGGGACAACCTTCTGATTAAGATAAAGCGTTTTCTATTCTCCGGCCTTAACATTCCACTTCAGATACACGTATCTCTGCTCCTCTTCGCATATCCTTCGACAGAATGTTAATTGAAGAGTCTACCAACAAGAAAGCTATATTTTCTGGGAGATCATTAGTCTTGCCGACACATTTTAAGGAACTATTAAAGGACAGCTTTTAAACTATCGTCGAGTAATCCATGTAGAGAACATTTTCATGAAAGTATGTTGGGCCACTATAAATGTGCAAACACAAAAGTACAAGGAAGAAAAACTTTTCCGGCTGGGAAGTTGTTTCCTGTAATCCGCCGGATACATTTCTGACAAAAAGAGCTATTTTCTATCCTGTTTTTACATCTTGGGTCTTCTGTTTTAATACCTTTCATTTTCGTGTCCTTACAACGTGTTTCTCTGCCAGCATTTTGTTTTTTTTATTAGCTTTCTATAAGTATGTGCGTTAAAAAGACGGGGAAAAGAGTTACTGCAAAGTTCAATCATGTTATCAAAGCCCATTCCATTCAGACCGAAAACAACGTTGAAATAAAGCAGTTAAGCGACATAATGAGGATGACGTTCACTTCCACTCGAACGAGCGCCATAATAAAATCCTTAGTGAAAATCTTATTGGAGTGGAACTTTGTTACTCACGGTAGAAAGAGTTCAACAGATTACTGATAAAAATAGTCACAAACAGTGAAGCTAGAAAATTTAAAGCTGGCCTACCTAAAGGTATATACTGTTAAATTGTCAAGAAAATTGGCTAAAGCATTGATACAGTCTTCTTCTTTGGTAACTCATCTGCTTACTCGAAGTGTTCACTATGTCCTTAACACGCAGATCTCTCTCAAGTGAGAATCTCCAAAGGGGTTTTTTTGGTGAGCACATAGCGTGTCCCAAACGGCGTATAGTTGAGGGATAAAGGGAGAGGCTCACCTGCGAGAAGCTAACCCTGTTAAATGAGCAAGGAAATTTCTGTAGACTGAATCACACGATTTCAGAAACTTCTCGGTCATGGCCCATTATAGTGATAAAAATAACTACGATTTTTCGTTCGGTCTTGTAGAACTAAAGGATCTAGTAGTAGTACCCAGGATCGACTTCCTTGTACGTTTGTGTTTGCACATTTATAGCGGCCCAACACACTTTCATGAAAATGTTCTCTACATGGATTACTCGACGATAGTTTAAAAGCTGTTCTTAAAATGTGTCGGCAAGACTAATGATCTCCCAGAAAATATAGCTTTCTTGTTGGTAGACTCTTCAATTAACATTCTGTCGAAGGATATGCGAAGAGGAGCAGAGATACGTGTATCTGAAGTGGAATGTTAAGGCCGGAGAATAGAAAACGCTCTATGTTAATCAGGAGGTTACCCCGCGCTTTTAACTTTATTCCTGGGGGTAAGTGAGTGCATATCTGCCTTGTAGTTTGACTTGAATTGCCTTACCAATATCCCAAGGCAGAAATTCCTCACCATCTCTGACAAGTCTGATACCATTTGCATTTACGAAGGAATAGAGAAAGTTGGTTGAGTCTAGTGTAGAACCCAACTAACGATGTGCTGCTCGACAGGAGCAATGTTCTGCTGTCCAATTTAGAACCGTGAAAATCGTCAAACCTCTTCACTGAGTGCGTTGGCAAACGAGCATAAGAAGAAAGCAACGTCGTTGATAGTAACGGCATTGTATAGGAAATGACCTACTTATCATTTGCGGTATAGTCGTGATTCTTTTCTGAATTAGACGAAATTTAATATGAAAGGGCACTGCCGGGTGAGCATGTCTCATTCGTGCAATGTTCCACAAGATGAACCGTCTCGGTACGACTACGAAGACGCCAGCCGAGAAAATTGAACTGCTGTGGACCACCTACCCTGATCATCTGCTCTGATGAAGACGAACATCTCGAAACTTTAGCCGAATAAATCTGTTTATCAACATCCTGTGAGCTCAACAATTCAGACGCATGATTTTTTCAATGAATTTGAGCAACAGTGAGTTAGAAACCATACCAATTTGTTCTGATCGTGGACATAGGTATTCGTTCTTATCGAGGTAATGCTAATAACTATCGTTAGGATTGCTAGAACTCATGATCAAAGAATTCAAAATTTTCATGTAGTAGAATAGTTAGAAGGAAAACTATGTCAGCAATCGTAACCTAGTCCTGGTAGAACCCACATCGCAAATCAGCAAAGATCGATTACAACACAAAGGTTTTATGGCTCTGCGTGACGGCCATAAGTGCATGGCAACGCCCTTACATAGTCATCTTAATACTCTATGAGAGAAAGACAAACTTGGGCTACAAATCAACAACCGAATGAAGGTTGTGCTCATAGCCACACTATTTTTAAAAGGAGGCCATCCAGATACTTTGGTGTCCATGAAGTAACTAAAGATCTGTCAATTGATTGAACCCAACTTTACATACTTATGATTTCATAAGATTAATGAGGCGAGTATCATAAGAGCAAAAAAGTGCGTAACAAATCCAAGGAACCCTTACGTTGGACTCATGTGCGTTTTCAGCCGATTTGAGGAAGATTTCTATCCAGGCCTCCGTTGAAAATCAGTTGTCGCGTTCAAGAACGAACTGATGTCACATTACTAACTCCTTGTCCACTGCCTACTACAATTATGTAAAAAAGTGCTCGTGTGGAGCACTGGTCGGAGGCACTCCGCACACACGTGCGATCGGTACTCGCGGCCATGGCCCACCAAGCCTTCCATTCTTCCGGGGTCGGCAAATTGGTACCAGACTTGTCTGGGAGGATAGCAACACTGACTCGATACATGGGTAGGCAAGCGCGAGTCATTGTCAAGGCC